AAAAAAAAAAAAAAAAAAAAGGTGAATAAGGTACACAGAAAGGAAAGCAGTGAGTCCCAGGCCTGAGAGAACTGTTTGTCACAGCAGCTGGCCTGGCACAGGGCCACTGGCAGGTTTCCTGGGGAGGCAGGCGGGGATGCGGACCGGGAGTGATGCTTCTTCCACCCTGCTACCCCTAAGGGAACTTTTGTGGCTGGCCCACAGTACAGCTTGGTAATGGTGAGCTGGGGGGTGAGCGGCAGGAGAGACAGTGAGAACTTGAGCTCCGTGGTACGACCTGAATCCAGCCGAGACAAGGCGCAGCTCAGGCTGTGGTGCCAAACCACGGGGCAGAGGCCAGCGCTCCGCCCACGGGCATCCCTGACACACAGCCTCGGGCTGCTGACAGAGGCACCCACCCGCACCTGTCCTTGCATGTGTGGAAAGAACCAGCTTGGTCAGTGTGAGCTGTTTTAACTCTTCCAAACCCCTGGCCACCTGGCTGGAGTCCATCTCTCTTCTGTGCTCTGACCTTTCAAGAAAGTAACTTGGAGGCATATGGCAGGGTGCAAGGGGCAGCAGTTACTGTATGGGTTGGTCTCCATGGAAACTTTGGAGAAGCAGCCAGAGCTGGGTTGAGCTGAGGCCATGCAGAGACTGCACAAACCAGCAAGTGGGTCATGAAACCCTTGTGCCTAGACCTGGAGGCCCGGGAGCGGCAGGCACAGGCCCAGGGGAATGAGGAGGAGGAGGAGAGCCGGAGCACCAGGACTCTGGAGCAGGAGGTGAGCATCTAGCACGCCTGCCTGAGCGGCATCTGTAGCAGCAACAGGAGCAGGGGTGGGGGATGAGTAGTATGTGGTGGGAAGGGCTTGCTCCTTCCCCCTTCTTCTTCGGGAGCTAGGTGATCTGTCCCACCTGCAGGTTGCTGAGCACTAGCTTGCAAGTGGAGCTTCCCAGGGACCTTTACAAGGTGAGCCAGCCTGGAATTGGATCAGCACAGAATTGTCACCCCTCCGCCCCTCGCTCTACAGATTGCACGCCTACGAGATGAGGGTTCCCGGCAGCTGGAGGAGCAGCAGAGGCTGATCCGGGAGCAGATACGCCAGGACCTTGAGCAGAGGCTGAGAGGTGAGAGCAGTGTGCTCTCCTGTCCTCCAGGCAGCTCCACCCCGCCCAGAGTGGCCACAGCGGCTGCTCCACTGAGTGGCAGCCAAACTCTGCAGACACCCCATGATCCTCCCTCCAGCACACTCCGCTGGTCCCTTCTTACCAGTTCTTGGGAGCCTGTGTGCTTTCACTCTTATCTGGCTGTTTCGGTCTGAGTCCCAAGCAGAGGTGGCTCTCCTTGGAGCAGATGAGCAGGGGAAAGGCCCAGGGTACTCTGCTTCGGTAGAACCATGTGGTCTATAGCTCTGTCTTCTGCCCCAGGAGCTTTTCCAGCCCTTCATTTGGAGAGAACTACAGGTGACCTTCAGAAGGTGGGTGGGCTGGCCACCCCGTGATGGGGCAGGATTGCATCTCCCTTCCCCTCCAAGTCCTCCCCATGGTGGGGCAGGTGTTGCCCTAGGTCAGAAGTGACCTTATCTGCTCCTCTGGCTCTGGCCTACCTCTCCTTTGGGAGAACTATGGATGGCTCGCCTCATATTTTCCTTTTCTTGTTTTTTTGTACTGGGGAGCAAACTGAGGACCTTGCACTTTCAAGGCAGGGGAGGTGCCACTGAGCTAAATCCCTGGCCTTTTCCCTTTCTTCTTTTGCCAATATTTCCAGGAAAGGTGGAAAATACTGAAGGCAAAGGAACCCCCAAACTAAAGGTGAGCATCGGCAGGGTCGGTGAGCTTCCTCACCGCACCTCCCTCGGCAGGGGCAGATGGGCTTGTGGGGAGCACTGGGTCTCTGAGTAAGCCATCACCATCACTGCACCCTTGCCATCTTCCAGCTGCCGGGGGGCCAGGCTGCCTCTCAGAGCCAGCCACAGTGGCTCTAGCCCCGGCGGTTGTAGGGCGAGTGTGTCCCCAGAAGTCCCTAGGGCGGGAAGCGTCACTGAGGGGGAGCCGGCTGCCTTGTCTCTTGGTTTTCATGGGGAAAACATGTTTTGGTGGTGCTCCCTAGTTACAGGTGCTTGGAGACCAGGAGGGCCTTTCTCACACTGTTGAGCTCGGATGTAGGGTCTGGTACTGTTGAACCGAAAGGTCAGTGCTTAATGCCGCTGTCTTTCAGCTGAAGTGGAAGTGCAAGAAGGAGGATGAGTCCCAAGGCGGCTACTCCAAAGATGTCCTTCTGCGGCTTTTACAGAAGGTCAGCCTGCTCTCTCCCTGTCTGTCCTGTCATCTCAGCCCAAAACTCAGCCAAACCCCAGGACTTCACCCCTGCACTTCCTTTCACATCTCCACCTGCCTTTTCTTCTGTACTGTCTCACGGACCATGAGACAGCCTAGAAACTTCTCTCCAGGCACAGTCCTCCTGTCGCTTGCATTGCCACGTGCCCCCTCCGGCCAAGTCTCTCCTTCACTGCCCAAGTCTAGCCTTTACCTCAGAAGCAAAAGGCTGGCCTGAGTGTGCTGGGAGAGGAGTGTTGCGGGCGTGAAAGCCTACCCTCCTCACTCCGTCCGGGGGAGGCAGCTGTGCCACTGTGGCACCCTGAGCCCCAGGCCTGTGCTTATCTCTCCTTTTCAGTCTTACATCCATTTCGGAAATTAACCTTACTTTCCCACCTCTGATCTTCTCTTGCCTGGTAATAAGGTTATTTCCAGTCTGAAAATGTAGCTGTGGGCCTCAGGGCAACCCTGGCTGGTCTCTGGCACAAGCTGGTCCTGGACAACAGCCCAGCCACGCTTACTGGGGCCTCCTTATCCCCACAGTATGGCGAGGTTCTCAACCTGGTGCTTTCCAGTAAAAAGGCAGGCACTGCTGTGGTGGAGTTTTCAACTGTCAAGGCTGCGGTGAGTGCTCCATGGGGCTTGGGAGTCATTCTAGGTCAGGGACCCAGTTTTGTGGCCCTCGGAGTTGGTGACCCACACTCCCAGGGATCTCCGGGCCAGCTCAGAGTGAAGGCTTACCCTCAAGCCCCCCTCCCCAGGAATGCTGGGGGACGCTGTGACATTCACTTTCACGCTGGCTGGCTCCGTATGCTCCATCCTACCCCTCTCTGGGTTTTGAGCTCTAGCACCGCCTTTTGCGCCCACAAATCAATAGGCACCTCCCTGGCACCCTTCCTGAGAGAGGCAAGTCTGCAATGTGAAAGAAGGCAGATTTGGCAAGACGTTGTTCTAAAACCAAAACTAGACAGTTCTCACCAGCGGCGATTGCCACGGAGCAGAAGCTTGAGCAGCTCCCAGGCTCGGTGGTTTGGGCTGCAAAATAGAGCGCACAAGGCTCCAAGTTGTCAAAATCTCAGGTAAAGTCTCAAGGGAGATCACTTTTCTTCTTTGTTGAGCTGTCTGCATTTTATTTTTGACACGCTCCCTAAGTTTCACATCTAAAGCCTTGGCCCACATGCTCTGCACCTGTGCTGCCGAAGTGAGCACAGCCCCACCATCTTCAGGTTGCTGAGGGTGTCCGACTCTGCTGGGAGGACTCGGATGCTGGTTCTGTCCTCTCTGTGGGGTACAGGGCCCCTTTACAGCTGATTTGCATGCATGGCACCAGGACTGCATGCTCTGTTTGACAGGAGCTGGCTGTCCAGAATGAAGTGGGCCTGGTGGATAACCCTCTGAAGATTTCCTGGTTGGAGGGACAGCCCCGGGGCATGGCGGGTGCCAGCCACCCAGAACTGTCCAAGGTAAGGAGCCTGGCTTCACCCATCTGGGCCTGCTTAGGCTCTAGGACCTCCTTAGGGGCCTTCATTCCCACGTCCAGGTCAGCAGGAGTAGAGTGAGATCCGCAGGGCCAGCAGCCTGAGAGGGAGGGCTCGGATTCCCTGTTAATCCCTTTTCCTTTCTGAGGGTCAGAGGGACCCTACCCTACAGATGATTATTATTATTACTTATTTATTTTGGTGCTGTGGATCAAGCTTAGAGCTTCACCCATGCTACACATACATGCTGCACTACTGGGCTACATTCCCAGCCTAACACAGTGCTCTTAGCCCCTGCGTTCCCTCTACATCCATCTCCCTCGAGGACACACCCTCACCCAGAGGGCCTGCAGGCTGCTCGGCTGTGATGTGAAGCACGCGGAGCTTAGATGACCTAGTGCTGCAGGGGAGAGACAGCTGCCTCAGGCAGCTCTTTCCTTCTCCACCACTTCAGTTTTCCAGGTGTGTCTCTGGCGCCCCAGACAGAAACTGACTGTGAAAGGCCAACATCCCCTCTAGAAATAACGCTGGCCCCTCGCTGGCCCTGGGGCACTGTCAAGTCTGGTGGCCCACGCTTGGAGAGGTGTGCAGCTTCCTGCTGATGCTAGCTTAGTGCTGGCTGCCAGTCCTTGAGGCTCCAGCAAGGCTTGTGTTCACCCTGCCTCCCAAGGCCTTGATATTTTCTGGCACAGATGCAGAGGCTGGGGTTGCAGGGCTTTCGGTCACACCTGACCTGACCTTAGTCAGCCTGCTTTGGGGCCAAGAGCCAGCATCCTGGCCCTTCATGTCTCTGAAACACTCCAGGTGCCTGTGCAGTGAGTCTCAGCCCCATACTGGGTTAGCAGGAGCTCTGCTCACCATCTGTCTTCCCACCTGCCTCAGGGACCAGGAGCTGTCTTGGGAGTATGTCCCACACCCAGGACAGAGGGGGAATATGAAGTGTGCTGAGCCCCATTCAGGACCCTGGTTTAAAAGAAACCCCACTCCCCCACCTTCAAGTCCCAGCACTTCACAGCCCTAGTAACACTCCACAGGTTGTGTTGGAAAGAACTTTATTATCTCCTGTATGCACAAAGGAACATTACAGCTTAGCATCTCCACGTAAGAGAAGGAAAGGAGGCCAAAGATTTGGGTTGTGGAGGCAGTGGGTATCAGAGATTCTCTCCCCCTCTGCCATGCTATGCTTGGAGAGGCCTGGTGTGGCCTCCGTGGTCTAGCTGAGTGCTGCTGAGCTCTGGCTTCAGGTCTTCTGGCCAGGCCACAGGGTAAGGCTGGAGCACAGCTGGTAGCCTGGACCCAGTGAGCTTGGCTAGGCTGGCAGTCGAATTGCCAGTGGTTTGGGCAGGGCAGAGTTCCCCAGGCTTGGCAGAAGATTCAGGAGACCAGATATGCTGCTTCATGGTTTAGTATCTACCCCTGATCAGTCCTCCTGTCTGCCAGCAAAGAAATCTGCCACTGTTTCTGCAGCATTTCCTAAAGACTGCCATTGCTAATAGTTCTGGGAATCCTCAAAGCACCCCTTTGTAAACCATGTTGGTGCCTCTGGCTGACACCCTCAAGAGCTGCTTCTTCGGGGCCAGGAATTGCTCCATGCAGCTGTGGTGACAGGCTGTCTGTTATGTCTTCTTCGCTGTTAGTGATTTGTTTGGTTTTCCTCTTTCGTTTTGCTCTGTGTCTCTACCTACCTCTCCCCAGCCTGTTCTTGCTCCTGCAGCCTCGGATGCTTCTCCCTTCCCTGCCCATCCTATGTGTGAATGGCTGCAGGCCAGAGTCCAGCCAGTGCTGTCTGGTGGACTGTCCAGGGATGTCCCTGTCCTTGCTGTGCTTCCCAGTGTGGTACCATTAACCAGGTGTAACCGAACATTTGAAACATGGCTAGTGTAGCAAGGAACTGATTTAGGGTTTTTATTTCAGTGTCCTTAAGTAGCCATATGTATCAAGTGGCCACCCAACTGGACAGAGGCAAGCCTATTTCCCCTCTCAGGCCTCCCCACTGTCCCCTTCAGCTTGGGCTGGACCGCTTTGGCCCCGATGTGTCCCATGACCTCTGTGCTGACAGTTGCTGCAGAGGAGGCTGGTGCAGGGCAGTGTCGATTCTGCCTAGTCAGTGTCCTCGCCCTGACTCACCCCTGTGCCCTCCTGTGACTCTGCTGGCCTCTGTGGTTACCAGGTGTGGCCTCCCCTTCCTGGCTTCAGTAGGTTCCTCCAGGGCACCTGCTAGAAAATGACCTCCTGTGTCTCCACTGGTCTCTGTCCTGTCCTTCTGGGTAACTTGGACAACTGTTCAGGACCCAGAAGGCAGGGAGAACTCTGGATTCCTATCTTTGCCTTTTCCTCGTGGCACAACTGTACCCCCCTCCCTTGGGTTGCCAGGCTTCAGCTTCTACGTCACCCCAGCTCTGCCCTGCTCACCCACTCAGAAGCTGGGCTCACTGGGGAACTGCTCCCTCAGCATCTGTAGAACCTCCTCAAGCAGCGAAATCCCCAGGTCCACCTTGAAGGAGAAGAACTGGTCACCTAGGTCTGGAGCGGGTGTCCTCTGAAAGGGGGCAGTGTCCAAAAGGCCCTCCTCTGAGGACTGGTGAAGGGTGCCCGCCAGGGAGAGTGCCGAGGGCAGACGAGCGGCGTGGGCAGTAGGGTAGGCCGCAGGGGCCTCCAGGATGTCAGGGCAGCTGCAACTCTCTCGGTAGAGGCGTGGGGGCTTGGGTGGGGCCAGCAGGGTGGCCCGAGGCTGCTCATCTCCCCACAAGGGCAGACGCCGTCCATCCGGCCTCCCTCGAAGTTCCCGGATGACCTCTCGGTTGCTGTACTCCTCGTGGTCACCAGCAGCAGTGCTGGCCTGGCTCAGCTCACTGCCCTGTCGCCGGAGTCGCCGTGGCCGCCCCAGGGTCAGCCGCTTGAGGAAGGAGGCACTGCAGAAGGAGCCTTTCCGCCAGGTCTCCATGGGACCCAAGGGAGCCAGCAGGCAGCCCTGGCACCTCAGAAACCCGGCACTCAGCAGCAGCTAGTGACCATCAGGTCCCCACTGGGCGGTGAATGCCAGCAGTCAGGGACAGTATGAGTGCACTTGAAGCGGAGGCCTGGGCTTCTGCTCAGCACAGTCCTCTGGCCAGCATCTTGGATGGTGACACGAGGCCCAGGAAGGAGCACTTTTTGTCCAGGAGAGCAAAGAGCTAGGAGTCCTGGTCGCAAGAGGCCCCACAGGGACAGGAGTGACCTGGTTACCTGATAGGGCAGTGGAAAAAACCCCAGCGGGAGCAGAGCACTTACGGCGCTGGGGCAAGAGCAGCTGGGTGGCAGAGGAAGATTCTCTCACGGGCTCCTTCCGCAGGCAGAGGCAGATGCACCCAGCTCTCCTCTCTGGCTGCTCTGGGCACTGCCGTCTCTAGGCCAGTGGAGGATAGTGCCTTCTCTGCCAGTGGCTGTGGGACTCTGATTAGTGGCTTGGGTGTTTGTGCCAGTGTGGCGGTGGCAGTGTTTTGTTTTCAGCTGACTCAGTCAGGTGGGAAGCTGGGTTTCAGGCTCTGAAGTAATTGCAGCATCCGCAGGCAGAAGCTGGGCAGCTGTGACCAACACCCCAGGGCGATGGGAGCTTCAGATTCCTCTTGAGACTGCTAGGGGCAGCCTGCATTGTGTGTCACCATGCTACTTCCTGTCTTACCACAGCCTCAGCACCCTGGCCCCAGCAGGCAGGCCTGCTCCCCAGCCCCCAGTGTGTCTGGGAGGAGCCCAGGAGGGAGAGAAACCTGTCGCTGGGCAGGTGACTCAGTTCTGGGGCCAGGTGCCAGGCCCTCATTAGCAGAGCCTGCAAGAATGGGGGAAGGGGCAGAGGGTATGTTAACGGGAAGCAGCCTGCAAAGGGCTCGGCTCCTCCCAGGGCGGGGCTGGGCTGTGCCAGGGTGACTCCAAGTTTTCTTGGCAGAGCAGCAGTAACTCTCGGAAGGAAGCACTGCCCTCCCCATGGCCTGACAGCCAGTCTGGCTGCTCAGTTTCCTCCTCCTCCCTCCTTTCCCAGAGGGCCTCCCAGGAGGAGAGCAGTTGAGGGGCAGGGCCTGTTGCTCCCCCTCACTGTGCTCTCATTCTTCCCCTGGGCAGCTGGGCCTTCTTCAGTCCCCCCTTCTTCAGAGGGGCTGGGCCAGGTGGTGCTGCTATGAACTGTTGGTGCCCTAGAGGTCTGGCCAGGAGGGCGGCTCTCCTAGGAGAGAGGGCAGCCGGAGTTGTGGGAGGGCATGGGATGGGCAGGGCTGAGTGGCACTTCCTGTTTCTCTGTGTCCCTTCTCTGAAGCAGTTGGCCAGGGCCTGGCAGTTTAACTCCAGCCACTCCCTTCTTATCCCCGGTCACTGACCACCCAACTTTCCTCCTGGCCCATCCCACAGAGTGCACAGGTCCACACCAGAGAGCACTGCATTTGTGCCTCAGGTGTGCTGCGTATCTCTCCTCGAAGCCAGCTGACCACAGAGTGGTCTCCCAGGAGGGAGGACAGGATCTAAGTCACACTGCAGACCTCATCAGGGTGTGAGGTTGGTGGCACAGCACTCCACTGCAGAGCTGCTGCTCCACCCTACTGGCCCATTGAGCTACTTGTTTATTATTCTTTTGATTATTAAAATATAGCTCTCCTTCACCCCACACTGTGCTGGAAAGATCATAAAAGAAACCATGGGCCCTGCCCTCTGGGAGCTGCTGTGTATGATTAGGGGTGAGTTGGCCTCCTGCTTGCTCTCTTGCTGTCTAGAGTGAGCTATTTGAGGCTGTGTCGCATGCAGGGCTCCATCCTGTGTCCTCAGACCAGACCCTCAGAGCTCAGGAAGCTGAGCAGTGGGGAGGGGACAGTCCTCTGTCCCCAGCTGAGCTGCTTCACTGGGGGAGGGAAGGAGACAGGGCCTGGGCAGACATGGGGAAGTGATTTGCCAGAGAGATGAAAGAGTCAACTAGATGTGACAGTCCTGGGTGGGCGGCAGCTGTCACAGGCTGAGGGCAGCTCACACAGGAGACCCGGGCCGGGCAGTGTGGCCCACTGGCTCTGAGAGCACAGGGATGAGCCCCTTTCCTCTGTCTTCCTTCCCTCCATGGCTGGGACTGCAGGTCTGCCTAGGCCCTGTCCTGAGTCTGAAGCCTGTGGGCCTGTGACCTGCTGCCTCTGATACCTCCCTGTCCTTCTGTCCCCCAGGGCTCAGTGGTGTCAGAGAAGGACTATGAGAGCCTCGTCATGATGCGAATGCGCCAGGCAGCTGAGCGCCAACAGCTGATCGCCCAGATGCAGCAGGAGGATGAGGGGCAGCCAATGTAGCCTCAGGCTCCCACCCTCCCACCCCACAGCCTTTTTCTTAACCAGTTCAATAAACTTGTTTTTCAAAGAAACAGCTAGCCCCATGCCTAGGTGTAGGAACCTGGGCTCTTTTCTGGGTGGGGCAGACCCCCACGAAACTGAGTCATAAGTCACTGCCAGGCAGAGCAGAGCAACCACTCATTAGAGCCCTTTATTGGCGTGGACAGCATGCAGCACCCACCCAGCCCTCCTGGGCTCTCCTCCACTGGACTCTGCTCCGGGTGGGCAGCCTGTAGCTGGGTGACGATGTAACGCCTGGGCCAGGGCCTTCCCCTCCTGCCCTGACTGCGGCCAGGTGAACCCTGCCCATCTGTGCTTGGCTGAGGAAGGTGACAGTTTGGGAAGAGAGCAGACAGTCAGTGAGGCAAGGCTGGGGCCCTCCAAAGAACAGGTGTCCCATCCGCAAGTCAGTGTGAGAAGGTCACTCCTTGTGCAGGCACCACACCAGGGTCTGGCCCACCCCTGTCATGCTCAACACGCGGAAGCCCCTGCGTTCCAGCTTGTCCAAGACTATTCGAGGAGGGTCGTTGACATAGTATTCCCAGCTGCAAAGAGACCAGGGTGGTGGGCAACGTGTGAGAGCACACAGAGCAAGCCCTGCAAAGCTGGGAGCTGCTGGGGTCAGGCCAGTCAGAACTCCATCGAGTGGCATTTGCTAGGCACTTCCTGGACGACAGGCTAGCCACACATTCACAGGCCCTCCTGTCAAGCACTGCACATGTGTTAGTTCATTTTTTTCCTCAAACAGCCTAACAAAGATACCCTTATTGCCATTTACACCTTGTTGCCATTTACTATTAGCACAGGGGCTCAAGTGGCTTTCACAGTGTCACAGAGTAGCCCAGTGTTAGTCTAGAGCAGGCTTTGGCACCCCTCCATCCTGTTTGGGAGAAGTAGCCAGCTCTCCTCATCCTGGCATCTGGGCCCCTCTGGCTGCCCTGCTGCCCTGCAGTCCTGGAACCACAAGGCTGACCCCTCCCTGGCGTGGAGGATGCTCGGCTTCCCTTCTCTCAGGTTTAGTTGCTGCTGTGGGGCTGTGAAGCAGGTAAGGGGGGAGTGCCTCAGGGCCAAGGGATGGGGTTGGCTGCTGGCCTCCAGCCCTGACCTGAGGGGCTGGGAGTGGGTCTTTGAACTGAAATTCTCTCTGGCAACCCTTCTCAAGATTCCAGAATCTGTGAGGCCAGGGCTTCCCCCTACTGAGTTGGAAGGGTATGGGCAGAAAAGGAAGCAGGGGTCTTAGTTTCCATGTCAATGTGGAGATGAGTGGAGGCTGCCCACGGAAGTGGCCAAGTCCCCAGGCGGCAGCAGAACTGGAAGCAGGAGTCAGTCTTCCTGCTGTTTCAGCACAGCTGCAGCTTTCTCAGCGGCTCAAGACAGAAAGTTTTCTCTGCCTATCTTTGCTCGATGGGGTCCAGCTTAGAGGTGAGAGGGCAGGACAAACAACAACCTGCTTAGAAGCCCTAGACCTGGGGAACTGACTCCTCCCATGAGGATGGGCTAAGTGAAGGAAGCCAGTGGGGGCTTTCTGGCTGGCCAAGGGGAGCTGTGGATGAAACCAGCTAGGGGGTTCAGAGCCCCCAGATGCAGGTGGGGGGCTCAGGCAAGGTGGTGTGCAAAGAACAAGCAGGGTGAGGGCCTCCCAGCGAGAAGGTGCAGAGGGACGCCTCTACTTACAAGTTGTTGCCCAGGACACTTCTCTTGGAGGCCCCCAGATGCTGCATCAGCTCCGGATCTGAGTGCTCATCGCCCACCATGGTGGGGCCCACCTCCTGCAAGGTAAGCTGAGGTGGCTGCCTGCTCAGTTGCCAGAGCACATGTTCGATCTCATTCCACTGCCTTCCGGCCCTGGGCAAACTTCAGGTGAGGGCTGAGGCAGAGGGGTGGGGCCCATCACTGATCAGCCCTAGCAGCGTGGGCCTCCTTGACTCCTCCGAGCAGAGCCAGGCACCCCCACCCATGTCTGTGTGTATAAAGATCACCGGGAGAATGACAGACTTGAACACACATTCACACAAAAGCTTGTGCGAAGGCAAGTGAATTTCAGTTTTAAAAAAAACCCAAAACTTGTACACACGTTAATTAGCAGGATTATTTGTAATGGCCAAAAGGTAGAAACAAAAGTTTGCCATTTGATGACTGAGTAAATAGAATGCATAGCCTAAGTGGCAATAAAATAAAAGAACGAGCACCAATCCGTGCTGCAGTGTGGATGGAGCCTGAAAACACTGAAGGAAGAGAGGGTAGACATAGGAGACCATGGATGTCGGCGTGTAGGTCAGGGTCACTGCAGGTCAGGGAAATGAGTGACGAGCGGGTGCCGGGCCTCTTTAGGTGTTAGAGATGTTCTAGAATTGATTACGTAAACAAACATAGTGAATTCTTTGGAATCTGTAATATATGTCAGTAAGCTATAATTTTTAAAAAGAATCATTAGAGGAAGGCATTTCTAAATATGCATTTCCAAATTGAGAGAAAGTGTGCTGGGAAGGGGTCCCGGAATCCACATTTTAGCACTTGCACAGGTGCAGATGATCCTGTCATGAACCCACGCACCTGAGCTTTCCTTCATCCTGCAAGGGAGCTGGGTCCCCTCCGCTAGAGGAAGTGGGAAGGAGCACTCTGCTGCCCCACCAGGGCCCAGTGACCCATCACCTTCATTTTCCAGAGAAGAGGCCTCTACCCCCCCCCGCCCCCACAGGCAGGGGTGAGTCCTCCCTGGGAGGGACGCGGCAGGAGGTGTCTAGCGTCTTCGCCGCTTCTTGTCATTCCCACATCTCTGTCCTCAGGTAATGCCCTTCGTGCCCGCGGAGCGGCTCCAGGAGGGCACTGTGCAGCAGGTGCGGGGCTCCCGCGTCGTGGGACAGGTCGCTCCGTGCCCCCCCCCGCCCCCTGGTTGCCTCTGCAAGGGGCGTGTCGCCTGAGACCCAGCCCAGGGCCGCCCTGAGCGCCCTCTCCCCACGGGCGCCCGTAGGCGGCGGGTACTCACCATGCGGATCTGGGTGCTGATGAGCAGGTAAGGCATGGTGCGCGCGTCCCGCCCGGCTCCCCCGCGGCACTGGGCTCAGGGCACGGACCCCGCGTGTGGCTGCGACCAAGGCTCAGTGTTCCGTTACTCAGGCGCTGCCCCCGTGTCCGGCCAATCAGGCGCTGGCGCTGTGACGCTTGCAGGCTCCGCCTGCCCCTGCGCTCCTAGCCACGGACTTGGACCTGGGGCCACCTTCAGTCTCAGCGGAGAGGTCTCGCCATCAGGGATGGGCTGTGCGGGGCAGGGGTGTCCCAGGGACTGGACTAGCCTCTCATGGCAGCGTGGAGAGCGTGTGCTGACCCTGCACCCGCTTCCTGCAGCACCTCCAAGTCCTGCTGGTCCCCTCCAGTCCCCATGCAGCAGAGTGGAGAGCAAACGGTGCCGCACGCCAAGCACCAGCCACCTGCCCCGGGACGCCGCGACATCTTTAGCAGACCCCCACTTTCCCTCGCCAAAACACCTTTCCCAGAGGTTTTTTTTTTTTTTTTTGGTATCGAGGATAGAACTCGGGACCTTGTGCTTGCCAGGCAGGCGCCGGGACCACTGAGCTAAATCCCCGGCCCTCCCAGAGATTCTTTAAGCGCAGGGGAAGCCCGGGCAGGAAGCTTGTGCCTACCCCTGAATGCCGAGACTGAAATTCCCTCCTGGAGGGGCGCACAGCGCAGTCAGCCAAGGACCAATTCCTAGCGCGGGGCGGGGCCTCGCGTTTCTCCAGTAACTTCGGCGCCGCGGCAGTGCCAGTCGGAAGTGACTCAGGGGAGGGAATCCGGCCCCTCTGTGGAAAGCTCACGCGCAAGAGGTCAGGAGGCCACCCCGGGGGCAGGTGAACAGCTTCCCCCACACCAGCTGCCAAAGACAGGGCGTCGAGTCCGTGGCCAGCGTCCCCACCCGAATCTGGGTACAGCAAAATCTGACCGTTCGACATTCCTTGTCTGCCTTAGGAGTGGTTCCTTAAAAAGCAAAGTAAAACAAAAACACCCCATAACCTCACCTCGCAGGCCCTGGAAGCATTCACACTTTCTTCAGGGTATCCACAGGCTGTCCAGCTCCCTGATGGACTTGGGAGAGGTAAAGGAAGCAGAAGTTCCTGTCCTAAACGGCCCTCTGTGTTTCCCTCCCTGACCTCTACCGGGACTAACAGTGTAGCCAGATGGAGAAGGCTCATTCATGCTCAGCAAAGAAACTGTGAAAATCGGGCCCGGGATTTAGCTCAGTGGTTTCGCCGCTTGCTGCATAAGCGAGGACCCGAGTTCGATCTCCGGTACCAAAAGAAAATGAGAAAAGATGCCTACCCCTGACCCACAAAGAACTCACAAAATGAGTGAGGAAAAGATAAACCAATACTGTAGAAAAGCCATGGACAAGCGACATGGCAAGGCACTGTGTGGAGGACATGACCAATAAACACCTAACAAGAGGCCCAGCAGCATTAGAAATCCTGGAAATGAAAATCCAGCTACATTTTAAACCATGACACAATACTGCTTTGCAGATTAACAAAAAAGAAGAAAAGATTTAAAATTTGTAAATGTTGGGGTTGGGTATTTAGCTCAGTGGTACAGGGCTCGCCTAGCAAGTGTGAGGCCCTGGGTTCAGTCCTCAGCACCAAAACATTTTTAAAAAAAAATTTGTAAATATCGCCAGGTGGAGGTTTGCACCTATAGTGTCAGCAACTCAGAAGGCCAAGGCATGAAGATCACTTGAGTCTAGGAGTTCAAGACCAACCCGGGGACCCCCTGCTTTTCTTTTAAAAAATCAAGTGTTGATAATGACTAACATTTGAGACATTGCTGTTGGGTTTGCAAATCAGTGTAATTGATACAAGCAACAGGGATCTCCTGTGCTGAAGCTGACCCTCTCCTAGACAGGCCCCAGGAAAACTTACTCTCAGGGACCACGCAATGCTGTCATTGGCAAAAGTCTGGAAACAGCCCCTATATTCATGAAAAGTAGACTAGCTTTAAAGTTTTTGGTAGCTGGGCATAGTGGTGCATGCCTACAGTCTCAGCTGCTCAGGAGGCTGAGGCAGGAGGAGCCTAGGAGTTTGAGACTAGCCTGGGCAACACAGCAAGACCTTGTCTCCAAAAGGAAAAAAAAAAGAGAGAGAAGGAAATATTATTGGTAGATCATACAATGGAAAATTTATAGCATTGAAGTGAGTGAAAAAGCAAATCCTTTGACACATACCTGCAGTCCCAGCACTGGGGAGGTTGAAGCAGTGAGGAGGAGATGGGGCAAAAGGCACCTGGCTGGACAAGTGGGTGTGACCTGTCAGGCATGAGGACACATGCGCAGAAGAGTTCCCAAGCCCTGCATCCACGACCAATCAGAAAGTGCTGATTAGATCTGGTGGAAATCAAGCAGGTTTTCGATAGGATGCCTAGATCCGGTGAGCCTGAGGAGGGGGGGATGCAAGACAGTGGCCATGGCTGCTGTGAGGTCTTTTCTGGTCCTGTCTTACTGCAGTGTGCCTCTTTTCCTGCCTTTACTTGGCTCACACTCTGCAGAGCCTATTTCTTTTCCTACCTTTAATAAATGTAAAACCTTGCTACCTTTTTCACTTGTCTCGTCCAATTCTCTGTACAGGACAACAAGAACCTGGAAAGAATCTCTAGAAGGGGCCCCAAGCACCCCAGAACCCTGCTAACAGCAGGAGGATCCCTGCAAGTCCCAGGCCAGAATGAGCTACATAGGAAGTTCAAGGTCATTCTGAACCATGTAGACCACGTAGTGAGATCATGTCTCAGAACAACAAAACATTGTTTGGACATTTAAAAACTGCCAGTTAAAGATTAGAAATTGCAAATCTTTTTGAAACTGTAAATGTAAGAGAACTTTCTTTGGGGGCATCTTGGGGATCACCACTTGGGAGACAGATTCAGATAGCTCAGTGTTCCAAAGGAGGTAGGGCAAGTGGCGCTTATATTGGCAAAAAGCTCTTAAGTCATCACAGTTAATTGCATTAGTCAGCTTTGCATTACTGTAGTGAAATACCCGAGACTGTTAGCTTAGAAAGAGAAAGGCTTGTTTGGGCTGATGGTTATGGAGGTTCTGATCCAAGACTGGGTGGTGCCCTTGGTCTGGGCCTCCATGAGGGCAGCGCATCACGAAGGAGGGCATAGGGCAGACTGCTCCATCAGGAGGCAGCAGGCAGATGAGAGGCAGGGCTCCCACAGTCCTCTTCCAGGGCTTGCTCCCAGGGACCCGAGAACCTCCCGCCAGCCTCCTAAAGGACTCACAGCCCCCAGTAGAGCCACCCTGGCAGTGACACATGGGCCTTCAGGGACCCTCATCCAAACCGTAGCAATAATTAAAACTGTTTGTAGAGAAACTTCTATTAAATATGAAAAAGAATGCAAGAGCTACTTGATGTGGGCTATGTGGCTAGTAGAAGATAAAGAAAATAATGGATAAGCCAAGTAGAATTGTCCATAAACAAGAGTCACATAACCTCCTGATACGTGTCTCCAGTCTCTGGGGACTGCCATTATTCCAGAAGCAGCCAGAGGGTGGTGGTGACTGATTCACCTTCCTGGGCATCAGCTTTACACACAAGTTCTGTCCCTCAGTGGCTTCCCAACTTCATTTGGAAAAGCCCTTTTGGTGTTGTTTCCTTCATTATGTGCCTTATAATTAAAAAAAAAAAACCTATGTGATCAAATTATAAGAAAAAAGCTGGCTGTGGTGGTGCACATCTGAAAGCCCAGCACTTGGGAGGCTGTGGCAGGAGGATTGCTGTGAGTTTGAGGTCAGTCTAGACTAGTGAGACCCTGTTTCAAAAAAGGGGGGGTGGGTGCAGGGATGTAGCTCAGTGGTTCTGGCACCTGCCTCACAAGCACAAGGTCCCAAGTTCGATCCCTGGTACCCCCCCCAAAAGGGGGGGGGTATGTAGCTCAGCAGCACAGCACCTGCCTGTCAAGTGCAAGGTCCTGAGTTCGATCCCTGGTACCAAAAAAAAAAAAAAAGATAAAGAAAAGTAGGGAATCCTATAATCCCAGCACTCTGGAAGCTTTGAGTCCAGCCTGGGCAAGTTAGGGAGGCCCTGTTTAAAAAAAACCAAAAAAACAAGGCAGGTGTGGTGGCACATACCTGTAATTCCACCACTTGGGAGGCTGAGGCAGGAGGATCTCCGTGAGTTTGAGAGCAGCCTGTGCTACATAGTAGTTCAAGGCCAGCCTGAATCACACAGTGAGACCCTATGTCAATAAACAAATCAAGCAAAATTAAATATGATTAAATTAAGGAGTCATAGATGTAGCTCAGTACAAAGGACTTTGTATTCAATCCCCAGTACACACACACACACACACACACACACACACACACACACAGAAAAAAAAGAAGGGAACATACTTAGGGAGCTGTTACCTCTGGAGGAAAAAGGAGATAGAATCATCTTTTTCTCATACCGGGAGGTGAGTGGTGCAAGGGCTTATAACTGTGTTTTGTTTGTTTTGTTTTATTTTTATAAAAATATTTAGATACAGGGTCTTGTTGGCCTTTGAACTCACTGTGTAGCCCAGACTGGCCTTGAACACAAGCCGTGGTCCTCCTGTCTCAGCCTCCTGAGCGCTGGGATTACAGACATGTGCCCACATTTCTGGCTATAAATGTACTCTTCATCTTTGTATGTGTTAGTACTCTTTTGGAGCCATAAATTATTTAATGAGGACAGTTTTAGCCAAGTGTGGTGGTGCACCCCTGTGATGCCAGCTACGTGGGAGGCTGAGGTGGGAGGATCTGAAGTTCAAGGCCAGCCTGGGCTACATCATGAGACTGTCTCAAAATTTTAAGAGGCTGGGGGTGTCACTCAGTGGGAGCGCACTTGTCTAATGTGTGCAAAGCCCTGGGTTCAATTCCCAGTATTGAAAAAAATGAACAAAGTTAAGACAAACCGTTTTTTAAAAAGTGTACAAACCTTTGAAGTGGATGCAAGGGGAAAGGCCGCTATCTGAAGCCCGAGGTGCTGGACTCACAGCCCAGGCGGTGAGGCACATGTTCTGGGCTTGGGGCAGGGCTGGCGTCTGGGCTCCGAGGTGCTCACGTCTCAGGCTGGCACGTGGAGGGGGAGGAGGGGACCAAGGGCAGGTATCGCTAGGCGGGCGGCCAGGACTTCATTACATTTGCAGAACTGAGACGCGCTGTGAGATGTGAGATAGCCCCATCCGGAGCCGCCGCACCGCCGACGCCTCGCCGGGCTGATAGCATCTTTAATATCCGGGGGAGATGCATTCCCCTGCCCGGCCCACTTCGGGTGGGTCCTCTGCGGAGCTGCCTCCAGGGCAGACGGAGAACTGTCCAGCGGAGCGCGTTTCTGGCCGCCACAGCGTCGTCCAAGCACCCTCCTCGGTTACGGACCGCTTCCCATAACCGTGCTAGGCGCCGGGACAGGGCGATGCAGCCGGAGCGGACCTCCCCTTAGAAAGCAGTCACCGGGTGCAAGGACCCCGAGTTCGATCCCCGGTACCAAAAAAAAAAAGAAAGCAGTCACCATGTCGCAGAGGTAAGGGAGCCTCAGGCGCGCAGACAGACAGTGATGAATTCCGCAGAGTGGGAGGCCTGGGAAGGCTTCCCAGAGGAAATGAGTTTTGTTTCCTTGAAAATAAAGTTCCTATGTTTTGTTATTGCAGAAATGATACATGTTTATTACAGAAAAGTGAGAAAAATACGGGGAAAGCATATTAAAACATTTTTCATAGCTGGGCAAGGTGGTGCCCCCCTGTAATCCCAGTGACTCAGGAGGCTGAAGCAGGAAGACTGAAAGTTTGAGGCCAGCCTGGGCAACGTAGCAAGACACTGACTCAACAAAACAACAACAATAAAAACCACTTTTGTCATAACCAAAACAATTAATGCCTCGTGTTTCTCACTGAATTTAATTTTTAAATTAAATTTAGGGGGGTATCGATGAAGTTACATTCCTTTATAGTGTTATAAATAAATATATTCTTGGTGGGGATTTAGCTCAGTGGCACCGAGTCTGCCTTGTTAGCACAAGGTCCTAAGTTCGATCCCTAACACTGGGGGAAAAAAAATTCTTATAGCTCACAATGAAAAGATAAATACAGGGTCTAGTCAAGGATCTTAGGAGGACTGGTCTAGATATTTCCACTGTTGCTACTAGAAATCCCCCTCCCCATTTTTTGTATCCATATGCATTAGGAATTTTAACAAATTGACATAATTGAACATATTTATGGGATATTAAGGGATGATAAACTAAATCTTTTCTTTCTTTCTTTTTTTTTTTTTTGGTATGGGGGATTGAACTCGGGTCCTTGCGCTTGCGCAGCAGGCGGCGAAACCACTGAGCTAAATCCCCAGCCCTTTTCTTTTCTTTTTGAGACAGGGTCTCACGATGTAGTTGAATTCACTGTGTAACCCAGACTGGCCTCAAATTCCCACCGAGCCTCCTGCCTCAGCCTCTGGAGTGCTAGGATTGCAGGTGTGTGCTACTACGTCTGACACTTTCTTTTTCCAGTTCTCACAACTGAACTCCAGGGGTTCCTTCGTGCTAGGAAAGTGCTGTACCACTGAGCTACACTGCCAATCCTTTTGATTTTACTTTGAGACAAAGTTTGCTAAATTGCCTAGGCTGGCTTGTGATCTTCCACCCTCCTGTCTCAGCTTTCCCAGTAGCTAGGACTACAAGGGTTCGAATCCGGACCCGTGTCGCGAGCAGGTACCGTGGGTAAAGAGGACTCGGACTCGGATGGCAATTCACACACTTATCTTATATTATCCTAATTCATTTCAATACAATTACCACACAATATTAAGTCTGCCGATTACCACGTCCTTGTACCTGTACCGCGCAAGTCCTTAATGGCAGCGCGACGTTTCCTCCCGCAGGGTCAGAGGGTCCGATGCGTAGACGAAGGGCGTCGAGTCGGCGCTAGGTGGTCCGCCTCTCCGCTTGCCTCGTCCTCTGGTCTCGTCTGGTCGGCGGCGATGCTCCTCCCAGCAGGATCAGGTGTGCAGAGGTCTCCGCCGGTAGTCAGATCATCAGATTGACTGGTCGACTGGTCGGTGGGACGGATCGTCGACTTGCTTGGGGTCTTCAGCTCCTTTTATACTATTCTAGCTGGGCGTTCGTGGTATTGGTTCAAACTTATCACACTGTCCAGCTTGGGGCATACTCTGCCCAATTCGGGGTACGCCCCGTCCAGTTCGGGCTACACCCTTATCAGTTCCATACCACTTAAGGTTTTACTTTCATTACTTTACACATCACTCTTATGATTGTATTATACTTAGGTTACAGCACTCTTAAAGTCACAGCACACTTTAGGGTTACAGCACACTTTGGGTTGTACGATTCCATCTTATTCCAAGGTGTTCTCCACAACCCGGCCAAACAGTTCTGGTTCTGTGTGTATGTACAATCGGAAGCGTGTTTTGGGGAAGGCTGCTGGGGTGGTACCCAGCTCCGTGCACGGAAGAAAGGCGCCCCATCCCGAGTTACACCCCAGCCCTGCAACGGAGCTTTGTCAGCTGCGGGACCCAGCTGTAAGGACCTATCGTGGATAACCATGCACCTGTTCTCATGGATGTGCCGAAGGCGCTAGCTGGGTTCAGTGAGTGGTTTCAGTGAAAGATCCTGACGCTCTTCATTTAGGCCAAAATTTAAGAAGTTTGAGCTGGGCCAGCGTTAGGAAACGCGGGGAGGAGAGCTTTTCCGAAGAGTGGCGGAAGCGGGGGAAAGCTTGAGCGATGCTGAGGAGGTCGGGCGTAGCAGGTCGTGACCAGTGTGCCTGGAGGAAACGGAACCCCGGCGGCCGGACTGAGAGGTTGACTGCAGACATCGGGCCCATAAGGCTCGAATCTCTCGCGCGGCCCGGCGCCCGGCTAACTTTCCCGCCCTCTGTTGACTCCGCCCCCAGACGGTCTGACCCCCCTCCCACGCGGCCGGAGGCGGGACCTGTGAGGTCATCTCGCTGAGCTCTCCTGCGTAGCGGGCGGTGGCGCAGTTCAATGACGTCACGGTCGGTGACTGTGTGAGGCTGCGGCGGCTCTGCTGCCATGGTGGCCGGCCGCCGGTTAAGGGCCGGAGCTGACCTGCTGGGGGACCAGGGCGTCTTCGGGGCCGGGCGTGAGGGAACAGGAATCTGCAGCCAGGACGGCGAGTCTTGTCTGAGCGTGGTGAAGCCGATCGGGGTGAAGGTTGGGAGCGGACTCTGCTCAGGTCAAGGGTTTGTGGGAGCAGAGCCCGGTTCCAGGCATGGGGAGAGGCGCGGTGGTCCGGGCCAGGGGCTGGCAGAACCTGAAGGTCCTGATTGGGGCGCGACTAGTGGGAGCTCGAAGTCTGGGGAGGGGCGAGTCCCGGGCTCATGCGTCTCCCCGGCTCCGCAGCCGCAGGTGCATCATGTCTAGCCTGGGGGCCCTGGGCAGCTCCCGCGCCGGGCTAGGGCTGCTGCTGGGCACCGCCGCCGGCCTCGGGTTCCTGTGCGTTCTCTACAGTCAGCGATGGAAACGGACCCAGCGCCGTGACCGCAGCCAGAGCCTGCCCAATTTCTTGGACTACGAGCAGACTTCAGAGCCGGGACGCCAGGGTACGGGGCTGAGACCGAGGTCACTGCTGACTGATGGGCCTGGGACATTTGCCACAGGCAGAGCCCATGGGACAGGGTAGAGGAGGGGATGCCTTTCTTGGAAAAACTTACTGAAAAGAAAAAACATTTTCATTTTCTATACTCTTTTCCCTGGACTGTTCAGCTTTCACTTTTGATTCTGACTACAGTAATATGTGTGGATTAAAGCCACTTGCCTAGTGTTGGGGGAAGGCTGTAATTAAACAGTCCAAAAGCCAAAAAAAATCTTCTAGGAGTTAAAAGTCTTGAGGTTTACGTATTAAATTACATATGAGAATTTGAAGGGAACTTGGAGACTAATCCAAGCCTTTTATCTCTCTTTTGAAGAAATATTCAGGGAGAGTGGAGCCTGTCACACTGTAAGTGGAAGGTTGGCCCTGCTCAACTGGCCAAGGTACTTTCCACAGCATGGGCTGGGAGCACTCCTGCCCCCTGAAGCTGATTGTGGCTGGCAGCCAGCAGCCACAGCTGAAATGAGTTGTGCATTGTTTTTGGAAAATCTTCATGTTAACTCGTTTGAACAAAGCAAGCCACTCCAGTTTTTGTGTGCTGGAGGATCACTTAGAATGTCTCACCTCATAACAATTGGAAGTTAACATTTTCTAAGACATTTCTCTACCAGTGTCAGATGGTTGGTTTGGAAAACTTAGCTGTGGAAGAGTCCTCCAAGTTATCACCATGGATTGCAGCTGATGGTCAGCATTTGATAATGCAGTTATGTGCTTCCTTTTTTTTTTTTTTTTTTGGTACTGGGGATTGAACTTGGGTCCTTGCACTTGGGCAGCAGACAGTGAAACCAGAGCTAAATCCCCGGCCCTGTGCTTTTTTTTTTTTAATGTCGTTTTTTTATTAGTACATGTTTGTAGTACATACTATTTACGTTCTTTGTGGGGAATCGGTACATGTACCTTCCCCCCTTTCCTTTTATTTGTTTTGTAATTTCTTAGTAGTCATCTGCCCTGTACTGAGGTTGGAACAAAGCAGCCACATTCCCAGGGCTCGCTCTTAAATACTGTGTCATGTATATTGTAGTCTGGTCTAGATTCCCTTTAATAAGGGATTTGTGCTTGCCTGTTTCTGTGGGTCCTGACTTCCTGCTTTCTTTCCTGTTTTTCCATTTTCCAGTCTAGTTTCCTTTAAGTCTCACGCTACTAGCATTTCACTGTTGGCATTCACCTAGATCTCAGCTCAGGGTTGGGTTGGTGGGGCTTGGTAATGGTGTTTTCCCCACAAGTTTGGATGGGTTTTCTCCAGTGTGCCCTTTCTTGGTAACTGCCCCTTTTTTCTTTACCCTCTTGAGAATACTAAATGGAGTTCTCAAGATAAGTGGCGTTTTCTTTATTACTTGTGAAGTGAGTTTTAGTTTTGCTGTGTAGTTCGTATTGACTCCCTGCGTTTGGCACGGAGGTCAGGTGTAGGCTTTTCTTTTACTGTAGCAGCTGTCCTGTCTTCTAGGTACCGCACCCTTGCAAGCAGTTTACTTTATCTGCCGTGAACAGCAATCCTGAAGAGCCCTGGTGTGGAAGAGCAGGGGGCCCTTGCTGAGAGATTGGGACCTTAGTTTTTTCTGGGTGGCTCCTTGGGACTTGTTACCATAACTTAGCTGTGAACAAATGCTACCTGAGCTTCAAGGTCTTCTTCATAAATTGAAATTTAATGAGAAGCAAGTGTTCTGGGACTCCAGGTGTGAGACCTTTCCTCACTCTCAGCCATGGACGTCCCTGTCTCCTTCCTTTCTGCAGTGATGCTGTTTCAGGCCTTTCCTGGTGAGGCTGGAGACGCCTCGGTGCTGCCCAGCCTTCCACAGGCAGGGCAGGAGAAGGTGCTGGACCGCCTGGACTTTGTATCGAGCAGTCTTGTGGCCCTGCGGCAGGAGGTGGAGGAGCTGAGGAACAGCCTGCAGGGGCTTGCTGGGGAGATTGTTGGGGAGATCCGGTGAGTAATGCAACCCCTCTTCTGCTTTGTTCCCCATCCTTCAGCTTCTCCATTTCCTCGGCTTTTTCAGCTGTGGTGTGTTCTGGCCTCTGTTTTCTGTCTCTAGCAAGCCAGATTTTTAGCTTCTGACTTAATGGGGGAGGGGGATGGATACACCTGGCTCCTTACAAGGTCCTTGCTGCCTCAAAGCTGAAACTACTCTTCTCAGCCCACTCTGCCATGTCGGCTGGGCTGGGGATCGCTTTTCTTGCTCTTCTGAGGGCAGGGACCCAGGGCTTTCTTTGGTTGTAGCTTTTGAACAAGGAAGAAGAGTAGTGAGGGAAAAGACAGGCAGGATGAGGCCTAACTGGAATGGTCCCCCTGGAATGGGATCTGCTTTCCAGATCGCACTTGGCAGACAGCCAGCGAATGGCTCGTCGGCGACGGTTCCCATTTGCCAGGGAGCGGAGCGATTCCACTGGCTCCAGCTCTGTCTACTTCACTGCCTCTTCGGGAGCTGCGCTCACAGATGCAGAGAGTGAAGGCGGGTGAGTCCTCTCTCCTGGAGGCAATTGTGAGAGAGTTCTGTGAAAGTTTCACATGTCAATGGAAATTTAAACCCAGCTGCTGTGAGGGTGGGAACAAACAGAATAGCTGGAAGAGAAATCACATGCAACTTATGTCATTGAGACAAATGGAAATGCTACCAGTGGTTATGCTTGTATCTGTTATTTTCCTGAGTCAGTTTGGTTTTCACATAGTTACTATAATATACTTTTATTAGTTTGGGAATTTTTCAGTGTTCTCACAAGGACTTCGTAAGTTTCGTGACTTAGCTCCTCCGTGAGTGGCTGAGAGGTATGCAGAGATGCCGAAGCACAAAGCACACTCCCTGTCCTGGCTCTCTTCACACAGCAAGCTTTGTCCACACTCCTTGAATCTGTGTAGTGGGGAGGCAACTGTCCTGAGTCCTCAGTGGTGCAGCAGGTCTGACATTAGGCCTTACCGTGAAGTGGGACAGCCTCCTCCAAGCATGGTCAGACTCAGGGCCGTTCCAAGTACTCAGGTTGAACACAGGGGTGCTCTGCCACAGAGCCACATCCCCAGCCCTTTTTTTTTGTTACCAGGGATCAAACTCGGGTCCTTGCGCTTGCGCAGCTGCGAAACCACTGAGCTAAATCCCTGGCCCCTCCCCAGCCCTTTTTATTTTTTATTTTGAGACAAGGTCTTGCTAAGTTGCCCAGGCTGGCCTCAAACTTGTGATCTTGCTGTTCCAACCTTCCAAGTTGCTGGGATTACAGGCATGTGCTACACACTGGCTAGGGCCTTTTAATTTAATTTAATTAAATTAATTTATTTATTTTTATTTTTAATTTTTTTTGGTACCAGGGATCAAACTCGGGTCCTTGCGCTTGTGCAGCAGGCAGCGAAACCACTGAGCTAAATCCCCGGCCCTGGCCTTTTAATTTTAAACCACTGGCACCATTTTGCAACTCTGGTCCCAAGGAGAGTCTGATGCTGTCATCTGCAGCTGTGTCCTGTTACCCAGGTGGCCTATATGAGGTCGAGTCTGACCTTTCCTTGGTGCCTTCTGCTGACCATTCTTCCTCAAGGAGAAGATGAGTTTAGAGAACAGCCAAGCTCATGCCAGGTCAGTGACAGACTTAGCTATTACCATGCACATGGAAGTGAGGAGTTAAAGCCAGCTGTGCAGGAGGGTCTATGCAGACTGGCCCTCGGTAGCTGAAAGCCTTACAGCACCAGCTCTCCTTTATTCTTTACTTCCTCTGATAGAGGATAGGCTAAGGACTGTAGAGGTATTTCCTCATGTGATCCTCTTTTAACAGTCTGATGCCCGGCCAAAGGTTGTGAGGTAGACTTAGCCTATTTTTTGGTACGGCAGGGATCAAACTCGGGACCTTGTGCTTTCGAGGCAGGCGGCGGAACCATTGAGCTAAATCCCTGGCCCTAGACTTAGCCTGTTTGACGCTGATCCCAGGAAGTTTCAGGGTTGTGGCCTAAGGAATGGCTTGGTCCTCAGGGCACCCAGGGCTTTCCTAGGAAGGTGTGGCCTGTAACCTTTGCACAGCTGCCGCAGCTCCACCCAGGCAAGGCCTGCAGCCTTAGAGGCATGGCAAGTGTTTCATACACTGCACTTCAGCCTTATTGTTTGTGCTAATATATTTTTCTTGCCTCTTCCCATTTGTTTTTCTAAGAAAATTAAACATAAAGAACTCTTGTTTTCTTGGTTAATACCATTGTCACTAATACTGGATTTGATTACTGCCCAAGTGCCTCTTGAAGCAAGTGAAGTCTTTTGTTTTGGTGCTGGGGACTGAACCCAGGGCTTTACACAGGTGCAGGTCTGCTGCAGAGCCCCACCCCCAGCCCAAACAATGAAGTCTTCATGCAACGCTCCAGGCCTTCCTTTAAGCCAACTGTTGCCCAGGTGGTCTGATCTTATCTGTATTCTCAAGGGCCTGCAGAAGTGGCCCATTTCTGTTCAGTTCACGTAATTGTGAGCCAGGAGATGCTTCCACAGGCTTTGTTAGAGAAAGGGGTAAAAAATAAGCTGTTAGAAAAGGGTGCAAAAATGAAATTAATATTTGACATATCTAGATGGCAAAGAAAGGACAAAGTAGGTGTTTTTGAGACAGGATCTCATTATGTGGCCCAGACTGGCCTTGAACTCATGAACTTCCTGCCTCAGCCTCCTGAGTGCTGGGATTCCAGGTACCTGCCACCATACCCAGCTAGGATGAAGTAGCTGGTAGTGAGTCCTGAAACCTAACAAACTTGTCTGTGCCAACCCAGGTAAGCAGGTCCCTGGGGTTAGGAATTGGTTTGAACTTTTTTTGGTACCGGGGATCAAACTCGGGTCCTTGCGCTTTCACAGCAGGTGGCACAGCCACTGAGCTAAATTCCCGGCCTGGTTTGAACTTTTTAAGAGGAAAGAACAAGAGCTCTGCCTATGAGATGTGCATTTCTAGGTCCTTGATTTAAAGAAATTGTACAAGTATCTGGGGTCAGTGGGAGCCAAAATGGTTAACAGGGAAACCTGTGGGTACTTCACTGCTTGGTGCACCAAGGCCACAAGGAGCAGGGCAGGGATGTCTGTGATGGGGTAAGGGGCCGAGTGGCTTTAATTAGCCTCATGACCAGTCCTGCAGCACATGACAGCTGGTAGTGATGCAAGACTCTGGCTGAGCCGCCTGCCTTCGGGCAGTGGCATGGAGTTGCCATTTAGGTCACAAGGAGACTGGAAGGAATCCACAAACTGAAGTGGCTTTGTGCACCTGGGGCTTGGGGAGGGGTTTCTCTGAATGATGAGATTTAGTGGGCTGTTCTTTCTGCTGAAAGTTGTATTTCCTTTCTAAATCAGTAACTTTACGCTGGCAGGAGACTGGCAGAGACAGGGTGCCTGTCACCTCCTCTCCAGTTGCCCAGGCCTCAGCCCCTCAGTGGAGTTTAGGAGCTGAAACTTAATTGCCAGGAGGGGTGTGTAGAGTGGAGGCCTCAATTTCTTGACTCAAGGGCTCTCCTTAAGGACTAGAGAAGTGTAACATGGTCTCTTGCTCACTGTGGGAACAAGTGTCCTTGAGTGCATATGTCCAAAGGGTGTTTTGTTTTGTTGTTGTTTTTCATAAGGCAGGGATGGACCTAGGGCCTCAAGCATGCTAGGTGAGTCTCTACCACTGAATCACATCCCCAGCCCTAAAGGGTCTCTTCAACGGTCCCTGCTTGTCCCTGGAAGTCTCAAACGCCTCTGGGTATGTTAAACGAAAGAGCCACCCCAGGCCAAGCTTGGTGACCCATGGCTATAATCTCCGGACTATGGGAGGATGAGGCAGGAGAATCACAAATTCAGTAGTGACTATTGAGATCCTATCAAAAAAGAGAATAGGGGCTGGGCGTTGCCGTCTCCCTGGGACTCACGTGGGTGACGCCGGTGTCCCAGGAGCCAGGTGGGCAGGCAGCCATGGCACGGTGGGCCGTGAGATAGCGGGGCCGGGCCGGGGGCGCAGGGGAGGCTATAGCCCGGTGGTGGCCGCGCCTGCATCGCGCTGTTCCTGGTGCTGCTCTTCGCCTTCGGCACCCTCATGGGCTTGCGCACGCTGAAGGCCCCAGACGGACTCCCCACGCTGGGCCCAGCTCTGGAGCTGGCGCCCTTTGAGCGACTTGCGGAGGCAGCCCCTGCGCCCGCCACCCAGGCCCCTGCCGCCCCCCACGGTGGAGCCCCGCAGAGGCCGCCCAGGCAGAGCCTGCGAGTCTACTCCGACCTGCACACCTTCTACTACTCGTGGTACGGAAGCCCGCGGCGCGAAGGCCACTACATCCACTGGGACCACGTTATGGTGCCACACTGGGACCCCAAGATATCGGCCAGCTATCCCCGTGGCCGCCACAGCCCCCGGACGACTTGGGCTCCAGCTTCTACCCGCAGCTGGGCTCCTACAGCTCCCGGGACCCCGACGTGCTGCGGGAACATATGACCCAGCTCAAGGAAGTCGCCATCGGCGTCCTGGTCCTCTCCTGGTACCCACGTGGCATGGCTGATGATAATGGGGAACCCTCAGATGACCTGGAACCTGCCATTCTAGACACTGCCCACCAGTACAACATCCAGGTGGCCTTCCACATCCAACCTTACAAGGGCTGGGATGACATCACTGTACATGACAACATCAAGTACATCATTGACGCATATGGCTCCCATGGTGCATTTTACCGCTGTAAGAACAGCATGGGCAAAAGCCTCCCACTCTTTTATATCTACGACTCATACCTGACAACCCCTGAGGCTTGGGTGCACCTCCTGACACCAAATGGGCCCCACTCAATCCGCAACACACCCTATGATGGAGTCTTCGTAGCTGCTGGTAGAGGAGGGCCACACCCATGGCATCCTTGCGGCAGGATTTGATGGCATGTACACCTACTTTGCCTCCACTGGTTTCTCCTTTGGCTCGTCCCATCAGAACTGGAAAGCTGTGAAGAACTTCTGTGATGCCACCAATCTCATGTTCATTCCCAGTGTGGGGCCTGGCTACACTGACACCAGCATCCGGCCCTGGAACAACCACAGTACTCGGAACAGGGTCAATGGCAAGTACTATGAGACGGCACTGCAGGCAGCCCTGACAGTGAGGCCAGAGATCGTCTCCATCCCCTCTTTCAGTGAGTGGCATGAGGAGACACGGAGAAAGCCATTCCCAAGAAGATGCCCACTCGCCTGTATTTGAACCATCTGCCTCATCAGCCCAGCCTGTACCTGGAGCTGACCCGCCGCTGGGCAGAGCACTTCATCAAGGAGAAGGAGCAGTGGCTGATGTGAGGGGCCTGAGGCAAACATCCAAGCCTTGCTGGAAGATGTCACCGTGTAGGATCAGCTGAGGGCACAGGCACTCACTGGCCCAGCAGCTGGGTGCTTCTGGGTGGTCATCAAGCCAGGGCCCATGTAGGACAGAGCCTGTTGCTGTGGCAAGCGTGTCGAGGCCCACTGCAGGGATGCAAAGCAAGGTGGTGTTCCAGCGAGAAGGGGAGAGGCTGGCAGGTGACTGCATGCAGCCTAGGGCAGCTCCACGTCCTCAAACCGCTTTCGTATAATCTCTTCTGGCTTTGAACTCTCCATCAGGTTGCTGTTGTGTAGTGGAGTCAGGCAGTTACTGCCTTTGGAAGGGTTTCAGCATTTTGAGCTAGCATGCACCCTACTCCCTTCTGCCGGTCTGTGTTCCCTTATGAGGCCTCCCTCATTGTGTCTTCTTGAAGATAGGAAACCATAGTTGAGACTTTCTGAAAGGGAACTTACAGGTTTAAGTTCCTCTCAGCTGTCAGGAAATATTTCTGAGCAGTCACATTCACTCAACACTAACTGAGCACCTAGTATGTGCTCCATGCTGGGGAAAAGGTGACTAGGAATGGCTCCCATCCTCCCAGTGCTACAGGGCCCAGTTTTCCTTCTTTGGTGTGGCCTTGTAGCTAGTGCCTGGCAGTTATGTTTTCCTTTTTGGTGGTTTCACCCAGTGTTTGTTCAGTACTTTTTCCTCTGAGAAAATACCTCTTGCTTCAGAGCCTACTTATCCCGATGAATATCTCGTCCCAGGAGAGAACTAGGACAATTCCCTTCAGCTGGCTGAACTGAATGAGGCCTCTCACTGGAGCCACTTGGAGCACTACTGGGGTCACACATAGAGGTATCAAGTACACATTCCTGGGGCCAGGGATTTAGCTCAGTGGTTTCGCCCCCTGCTGCGCAAGCACAAGGACCCAAGTTCGATTCCCGGTACCAAAAAAAAAGGGAAATCAAGTACACATTCTTTTTGCTCTAAGACCTTGTAAATTCTGACTTCAGTCAGATTTTGACATGTGGCCAGGGCTGGCTATAGTTTTAGCACAATGAAGAGTGGGTTTGCTTGAGAAATTACTAGTTTAAATTAAGATTTCTAGAGGGAATAATTAACAAGTCAGTGCTTATTTACAAACTAATATCCTAATTTTGGGGACCCTCAATAAAGTAGGCCCTGGAACACCTTGGCAAGATTCTTAGGATATACTTGAAATAATGTGCATTGGAAATCACTACTGAGAGGACTATGGGCTCAAGACTGAATCATAATTTTGGGAAATGGTACGTAGGGAAGGGGGGAGTGGACCCTAGGTCATCTCAAGGACACCTAGCCCTATTTGGGTTTCTGGCACTAAACTCCATCAGACAGGTGAACAGTGCCAGCCACCGAGCTTATGGCTTAGTTGAGGGAACCAAGACAAGCAGGACAGTTGGTAGGGCTGGATGTTGGCATGCAGTAGTTTCATTTCGCACGGACAACTTGACAACTAGGGCAAGGCCAGCAAGAAGGGGAAGCTATCCTCATGCATTGCTGATGGCTAAGAAACTTGATTCAGTTTTCTTGAAGGCTAATCTGCATCAAGAGCCACAAATGGATATGTACACTTTGATCTAATAAGTCTTGATCTAATGAGTCTTACCCTAAGGAAACAATTTTAAAAAGAAAAAAAAAACCCATTTACAAATATGTTTACTAGTTGCATTTTTTAACAGTAAAAAGTTCAAATGCCTGGCTACAACTTTAACAGTTGGTATACATGTGAATAAAGATAAAAGGCTGCTGAGTGAACACTGGAATTAAAGTCACTATACATATAATTTTAATTATACTTTATAAATAAATAAAGGTCACTGGCTAAAAGGAAAAAAAAAAAAAAAAGAGAATAGGGCTGAGGATGTAGCTTGGTGTGGAGGCCCTGGGTTCAACCCTCAGTATCATCAAAAAACAAAAAGTCACCTCTCTGGGGGATCTCCACAGGGCCTGGGTTAGTGCAACAGGGGAAAGTGAGAGGGTGGCATAAATGCAGTACCCCCGGCACATGGGAAATCTCAGGCACCAGAAGCCCATGGGCGGATACCCAGCAGTAGGGCTCCAGGTTGGAGGTGTAGTTCTCCTGGTGCTGAAATTGCTGAAGCCACCCTGCCTCAGAAGGCTCTCCTGGCTCCGTCTGTGGGGTGCTAAGCGCCCCAACCTCCGCTTCTCCTTGGCTCTGTAAGCTGCTGGCTCGGCTCTCCCTCTCGGTGGCTTCTGACTGAAGGAGGCTGCCCTCATCCTCTCAGGAGATGGTGAGGCTAGAGCACTCCACTGCAGGTACCACGGTCCATTTTCCCGGGTCCTCTCATCCGGGGCAAGCCTTTGGGCTGGGCCATGGCTTCCTTTCGGCTGTTCTGTGTGGTCTCAGTCATCACAACCCAGGTTGGTTGTGAAATCTGATCTCATTTTTCTTTCTTCCTTAAATTTCCAAAGTTTTTCCTGCAGATTGCTAGAAGGGAAAGATACTAGGATAATCTCTCTCAAAGCAAGGTGTGGTTGTATGACTTTGAAGTAACATATAAGTTCCTGTAGTGAGTGTTCCTGTGCCCGTTTTTAGAGACACTGGAAGCCCCTCTGTGAAGAAGCAGTCAGCCAGCATTCTTAGACAGGGGCACCAAGCCTGCTGCTCACTTGGTACCTTCTGGAACCTGCCCCCTTGGTTCTCTCTGGCCTCTTAGCCAGGAAGAAGCCCTTTTCCATAGGGTATTGCTCAGGCCTTGAACTAGCAGCGATCATCCAGTCTCGGGCTTCCCAGTGCCAGAGGTTACAGCCACTGTGCTTGGCTGAGAACTTTGTCCTGGCTGTAGGCCCTCTTGTGTGGACTTTGTCCCCTCATCTCTCTTTCAGTTGTTTTGCTTCAGCCATAGGGAGCTACTCTTTCAGTCCGGGAAGATGAAGTTTTCCCCCGGAAAGACCCTGAGGTCTTTCTTGTACTTTGTCTTCATTTAGTCTGGGGGCTCTCTGGTGTCTGATTCTGGCCCCTGGAAGGCCTGCCTTCTCCCCTGCCTGGTTCTTGTCTAATCTAATTAGCAGTTAGGGGAAGTGCTCCATCAGCTGCTGGCAGAGCCTGAGATCCAGGAGGTCCTTGCATCCCTCCTCTGTGGGCACCTCAGCCCTGACACGCCTTCCCTGATGCACTTTCCCTCCTCTTCCTGTCTGGCTCCCAGAGGCAGTGTCCCTGCCTCCTCCATCCCCATGTTCCCACGGGCTGTCTGGTGTGGCAGAGGTCAGGCTAGTGTGAGTGTGAGGGAGAATGTGGCCGCAGTGGCTGGCACCCGTGGTAGTTTGGCAAGTGCTCCTGGCTGACAAAGCACAGATGATTATACCCTTGGCCTGGTGACCAGTGTAACTTAGGTCAGCCCCATCTGTACCTTTCAAGGTTACTGTTTTTGGTGTTAGGATGGAATTCAGGGTCTGGAGCACATGCTAGGCAATCCCTTTAACACTGAGCTACATCTCCAGCCCAAATGTTGTCCTAAACATTTTCTTATTTATAAAAATAATATATGCTCACCAAAGCAATCTTTTGTTTTTTTTGAGACAATCTGTTGTTTTTTTGGGCTATGTAGTCCAGGCTGACCTCAAACTCTTGGTGATCCTGCCTCAGCCTCCTGAGTGCTAGGATTACAGGTGTGCGTCACCATGCCTCATGCCTGGCTGAAGCAACCTTATATTTAAAAATAGAAAAAAAATTACCTTCTACCTAGCAGGTCTACTGGCAACATTTTTTCCCCCCCGCAGTATGGGGATAGACCCAGGGCCTTTGTACAGAGCTATCTTCCCAGCCTTTTAATTTTTTTTTTTTTTTACTTTTGAGATAGAGTCATAGCCTAAATCACCTAGGCTTAGGTTTGAATTTGATCCTCCTGCCTCAGCCTCCTGGAGTGTTAGGATTACAGGCATGTGCCACCACACCTACCTATTGACAGCATTTTGTAGATACCTTTCTAGACTTTTTCCTTTTTATTTTCTGGAAGATTTCATGGTGGTTAAGGGGTTTTCATTTTGGCCCTGACAACACAGAGCCCGAAGCTGTGTGGATAGGCTTCCCCTCCCCAGTCCTTTTCCCCAGACCATAGTTCCCACAGGAAGCTTTCACAAGTTCCTACCCACAAGGCTGGAGAGTAATTATTTGAGGCACTGCACATGTATGCTTTGAGGCTTGAGGGTCTATTCTAGAGGCTTCGAGCTGAATAAGCCCCACCCTTGATCCTGTCACTTGTTTCTCTGCCAGTTACACAACAGCCAATGCCGAGTCTGACTACGAGCGGGACTCTGACAAGGAGAGTGAGGATGGGGAAGACGAAGTGAGCTGTGAGACTGTGAAGATGGGGAGAAGGGACTCTCTGGATCTGGAGGTGGAGGCGGCTTCAGACCCAGGGAGTGGTGCTCTAGAGGATGGCGGCTCCTCTGCCTCTGAGGGCATGCTGCCCCTCCTGCGCCAGGCTGATGAACTACACCAGGGCAGTGAGCAGAACAAGCGGGAGGGCTTCCAGTTGCTGCTCAACAACAAGCTGGCGGTGAGGGTCTGCTGTCCTCCTGCATCTCCTGACCCCTAGGAGATGAAGGAAGGCCCGTGTGCCTACAGACTGGAAAGCAATAGGGAAGGGCAGGGGGGCACCACAGCTGGTCCTGTACGTGTCTCCTGGTTGCACCCCCTTCTGTGGGGCCCCACATGGACCCTAGGAAAAGCGCCCTGCCTGCTGTTGGGGAGGAGGGGCACACTCCTCCACTGTGCTCGGGAGCAGGTGTGGAAAGGGCCGCTGGAAAGGTACTTTCCCCTCAGGCAGAACGTGCCCCTACTTAAAGTTTCTATCGCACGTGACACATTGCTTCTCAGCCTTTTGGCTAAGATCACATGTAGTATCACACATAACAGCTGCTTAGTCACTCAGTCACAGTTCCCATTTTAGGCTGACAGAATTTACACCAGGTATAAATCCCAGCCACTTTCATGTCCCCATTAGAATTCTTTTCTTGGGCAATTTTTCTCCTCTGTGTGCCAGCAAAATGGTCCCTTAGTTTATCTTCTTGGAACTGACCTTCCCTCCTGGCAGTTTTAGGCCAGAATGCCCTCACCCTGTAATTGTGTACGCTACCAGCTAGGGATTGTGTTGTCATTCAGTTGCATGTGGGAAGGCTGTCTGAAGGCTGGCTTCACGACAGTGACTGACACACCAATTGGGAAGTGCAGACCTGTGCTGTGGGGCAAAGCCAGGGCTCTGTTCTCCGTGGCTTAGGAAGAGGGGCCTCATTCCTTTGAATGTCTGTCTGCAGTATGGAAGCCGGCAGGACTTTCTTTGGCGCCTGGCCAGGGCCTACAGTGACATGTGGGAGCTCACCGAGGAGATAAGTGAGAAGAAGTCATATGCGCTAAATGGTAAGTGCCACCAGGCCCCTGGTGGGTAGGGGTCCAAGGACAGAGCTGCAGCTGTCCCATGTGCGTGGGGCCCAGGGAACCCTTGCTTCCACCTCTCCATATGGCATGGTCTTTCTCTTCACATCCTGGTGACTGTGTGGCCCAGGTACACAATTACTTAAGGAGTAGCTGAGTCGTGTTAGCATGATTCTTTGTTCTCACTCCCCAGCCATAAAGCTTCCTCTCAGTTATGGAGCCCATGGGACAGGCATTCTGAGAACAGTCAGTGGGGCACATTCTGGCAGCACCTGGGAGACGCTGTGTAGGAGACCACTGCTTGCATGAAGGCCTCGTATCCACTCAGCAAGTCTGTGGCCTAAGTAACTGCCCTGGGCCACCAGGACGTGCATCTGACCTGTCCCAGGCTTAAGGCTTTGCCTCATGGGGCCTGAGGTCAGAGTCCTGGGACTTTTAAGAGACTGACATGTCCTGCCCACCACAGTCCAGTGTCGTTGACCATCCGTGGACTTCTGGGTGTGGTCCAGTTGATAATCTAAATGTAACTCTCTCTAGTGGTCTTGTCTCCTTCCTCAGCCTTACAAAAGTTACTGAGTCTTTGATAATATGAATCTGACAACAGCTCAAAGTTAATGTCCTTAACACTTACAGAATTCTCTTGATGGAGAAAGACACTGAGTTGAATGCTTATTGATATAGACCTTCAGATGATCCCTGGTAGCTTTAACAAAAGGTGCTTAATTACTGCCCCCCCCCCCCCCCAGTCTTGGACCGGTAGCTCATACTTACCAGCTTAGTTCACCTTTAGTACCTTTTCATCCTCTGTACCTTTTCCAGAACTACCTTTCCCAACTCAGACTTGTGGTTCTCTAGCATTTTTGTTTCATTGGCAAGGGTTTTCTCTGACTTTTCTGGTGCTGCCTGGAATCAATTTATTGACTTTCTTTCAAGTCATTTGTCTATATCTCTAGGGTTATGGAGCTGGTTGTGGCAGTGCATGCCTGTGATCCCAGCACTGGGAAGGCTGAGGCAGGAGAATTGTGAGTTCAAGGCCAGCCTGGGCTATATGTGAGTTCAAGACCAGCCTCAACTATACAGTGAGAACTTGTTCCAAAAAACAACCCCAAAACCTCAAGTGTTAAGAGGCCTTTGGTGTCTAAGAGTTGCCTTTTTATTAAAGCCAACAAAGAACAGACAAAACAAATAACCATCAGCAGTCTTGCTATCATTCTAAATTTCAATTATGCTCTGCCTTTTTGGTCATGGTGCATTTTGTCACAGGTAGACCCATGACGTGGTACTTAAGATAGTTTTTGCCCTGAATATCCTCAGTAATTAGACAAAATTTTCTAACCCCAGCTTCAGCATTTTGGAGATGAGCAAGGCTTCCTGTAAAGCACAGTTGGAATTTTGGTTCCTTGAGTCTTCATAATCCTTATTTCTTATACTGAACATAGCACATGATTCTGTATCACACGAGTATTTCTTAGAAAATGGATATTATTTCTTAGCTCCCTTTTTGCGATCTTTTATAGGGTAGTTAAAAAATTTATTAATTTAAAAAATTGAACCTAAAGCCTTTGCACTGGGTACATCCTCAGCACTTTTTATTTTTTTTGAGATAGTGATTTGTGAAGTTGCCCAGGCAGGACTTTTAACTTGTAATCCTCCTGCCTCAGCCTCCCAAAGTACGGGGATTACAGGCATGTGCCACCATGGCTTTTTGTTTAGTTTTGAGACAGGATCTCAATAAAAAGTCAAGGCTAGCCTTGAACATGTGGCTGTCCTCCCTCAGCCCCCCAAGTGCTGGGATTTCAGGTGTGTGCCACTACACCTGGCTATCAGGTACTTGCCTACTATCATGGTGCTACTCAGCCAAAAGGGCAAATTTTATTTTTTGTGGGGCTGGGGATTGAACCTAGGGGCGTACACATGTTTGGCAAGCACTCTACCTACCACTGAGCTCCATTCTCAGCCCTTTCATATTTTGAGACAAGGTTTCACTAGGTTGTCCAGGCTGGCCTTGCACTCTCGAGACCCTCCTGGCTTTAGGCTTATTTCTTAGGGCTAATAGGAGGCATGAGCCCTGAAGGCAGAGTCCACAGCTAGCCCTTGTTTGGTCAGGCTTTTGAGCTTAGCGCCTTTGGAACAGTCTGTTGGAGGTCAGATGACTGTGGAGTGTTTGAAGGTCTTGTCTGAGGTTATAGCCTTTAAGAACCATCCTTGCTTAGCATGGTGGTGCATACCTGTAATCCCAGCTACCTGGGAGGCTGAGGCAGGTGGATTGCACATTTGAGGCCAGCCTAGGCAACTTAGTGAGCTCTTGTCTCAGAAAGGACAGAATAAGGGTTGTTTTAAAAAAGGAAGGAAAAAAAAGGGGTGTGTGTGTGGGGTTGTAGATGTAGCTTAGTGCTTCCTGGGTCAATCCCCAGGACTGCAAAAACAAACAAAATCTTTACTGGGTTATAAGTTCATTTCATTCTACCTCTAGAAGCTGGACCACCAGGAGGCAAGCATTCTGTAGATCTCAGGTAATTTCTGATCCACACCATTCTGTCTAGCCCAGCAGGAAATGGCTAATTCTTGCTCTTACATTTCTAGTAAGAACTTACATCTGTGTGATAATTTATACCTGTGATCCCAGTACAGTGGTATCTGGGTTCAGGAACACTTTTGTTTGCAAACACTTTGGTTCATAAACATGACCACAGCCATCTTTCCCACACAAACACAAACATGGCCATCTTTTTCAAAACCATAGAACAAATTAAGTTCATGAACTGAGGTACCACTGTACTTGGGAGGCAAAGGCAGGAGGATCAAGAGTTCAAGCTCAGCCTGTGCCACATAACTAAACCCTGCCTCAAAAAATAAACAATGAAGCAGGGCATGGTGGCACATTCTAACACTCTGGTGCCGGAGGCAGGAGGACTGCAGGTCCAAGTCCAGCTTGGGCAGTTTAGTGAGTTGGTGACACCCCATCTCAAAGTTAAAAAAAATTTAAAAGGGCACAGTATGTAGCTCAGTGAGAAGGCCAGGTTCAGGCAATCCCAGTATCACCACCACCACCACAGAAAAAGTGCTTTGAGGTGGGTGAAGAGACACACCCTAAAAGGGATTATCCCTTATTAGCCAGCCTGCCTATTACAACCTCAGCATATTACATTTGTTCCATTTTCTCCACATTCCTTTCCAAGCCCCCCCCCCCCCTTTTAATCATGTTGTTTTCTCCTGTGCACAAACATGATGGTCCCCATCTGGAGGTGTATAAGCTGTAGCCACCCTGATACTCTAGTGTGGTGAGGGCGAACCTTTTAGAGACCAAGAGCACAAACTGCGACCCAAAACCCACTTATTTACTGCAAAGTGCCAACACTGAAAATAAACCTGCATACTGAGGTTTGAGTTTAGTATAAACAGCTCACACATTAACATTTTTTGTCTTAAAAGAAAAATAACATGCCTGCTATAGGTTTGCCACCCCTGCTCTAGGGGATCCTTGTCAGGAGCTTACAAGTGGTCATATTTCCTTGTAAGTCTTAGTGCCTAGAAAACTTGGTAAGAGCCAGCAAAAGCCACCTCCAGACCTTAGTCCGTTTGGCTGTCAGGGCAGGAAGTGCACCTCAGTTGTAGAGTGCTGTCCTGCATATACAGGTCTCTGGGTCTGCTTCCCAACACTGCTGTGAGGAGGGGGATGGGGGTTATGTGTGGGGAGTTGGGGCTCAGAGCTGCAATAAACATTCACGGGTGGGCCGGGGATTTAGCTCAGAGATTCCAAAGCTTGCCTCAAAAGCACAAGGTCTTGAGTTCGATCGCTGGTACAAAAAAACAAAACAAAGGGACTGGGGATTTAGCTCAGTGGTGCCGCCGCCTGTCTCATAAGCACAAGGTCCCGAGTTCAATCCCTGGGACCAAAAAAAAAAAAAAAAAAGAGAAAAGCCCTCTATGAAACATTCAACAGCCCATGTTTGGGGCCAGGGATTTAGCTCAGTGGTTGTACCACCTGCAATCCCCAGTAGCAAAAAAAAAAAAAAAAAAAAAAAATGATAGAACCAAGGAAGCTAGGGAGACTAGATAGTACTTGTTAGCCTAGCCTGGTAGCACCTTCCTGTACTTCCAGTACCTGGGAAGCTGAAGTAGGAAAACTGCAAATTCAAGTCTAGCCTGGGCAATTTAACAACTTAGTGAGACCCTGTCTCAAAAAATAAAAAGGTGTGGGCTGGGGATTTAGCTCGGTGGTGCCACCACCTGCCTCGACAGCACAAGGTCCCGAGTTCAATCTCTGGGACCAGAAAAAAAAAACCAAACATTCAGGGGTCTTTTTGAGAATTTTTTTTTGGTATCGGGGGTTGAAACTCAGGACCTTGCACTTGAGGCAGGCACAGTGCCACTGAGCTAAATCCCTGGCCCTTTTTGAGAATTTTATCAAAGCTTGAACCCTTCCCCAGTAAAATGCACATACAGCTGGAGTTTTATACAACTTTAGTGATTCCTACAGATTGGTTACTGTTGGGTCTCTTTGAACATTTGTGATGCCAGTTTCTATTTGTTTCAGTCCTGGGGGGTGGGGTGTAAAAAGAAGGCAGTTTGGACTGCTGAGACAAGAGAAATGGGTGAGGCTGAGGCGGCAGTAATCCCTGAGAAGTTGTGTGCTGCTTTCCATTCTGTGCAAATTCAAACTATTTCCAAACAAGTCCAAGTTGGATGGGGGCTGGTGAGAGCTAAAGTGACCATTTTCTGGGGCCCTTTCTGTGTAAACATGCATGGAAATACATGTTAATTCTGCATTCACCTTTGTCTTTCAGGAAAGGAAGAAGCAGAGGCTGCTCTGGAGAAGGGGGAAGAGAGTGCTGACTGTCACCAGTGGTAATGACACCCCACAGGGCTCTGGGAGGAGCCAGTAAGGGCCAAAGCGGAGGCCTTTCTTTTTGCTGCCTCGGTCAGAGGCATTTGCCTGAGGAGCCAGGAGGGGGAGCTCTAGTTTGTATGCCTTACCCTCCCTTGTCAAGGAACCCAAGGTTTTTGGTTTTAGGGATGAGATGGGAGGAGTACATGATTTTTTCTCTGGTGGGGAGAAATGCATATCTTTGTAAGAACCATCCTAACTTGCTGGGTAGTGCATGCCTGGAATCCTAGCACTTGGAATTCAAGACCAGGCTGGGCTACATAGCAAAACCCTGTCTCCCCAAAACTCATTGTAGCCATCGACTTGTGGGTTCTTGGCTCCTGGGGAAGGCCAGGACAACTTGCAGCTCCCCATCCTGCACAAGCTTTTCCTTCCCCAAGCTACTATCCCTGGCTAGTGTGGGCCTTGGCTTCTTGGCTTGGTTTGCATGAGAAAAACTAGATGTTAGCTCCATGGTGGAGCACTTGGCTTGTGAGGCCCTGATTTCCACCCCCAGCAGCTGCAAAATGTTCAAACCATGATACTGGCCTTTTTATTATCTTGTGATGTAGAGTTCTACTAGCTTGCATGGGTTAGGGCCAACTCATGTCCTAGGGCCTAATTCAGCATCAGTTTGAGTGAAAATATTCTGCTCTTGGTCTGTCCTCAGACTGCGCTAAGTGAGAGATTGTGTTTCTCCATCTGTTGCTGTAAAATATCTTCTCAGAGGTAACTTCTAGGGTATCACTGCTTCCCTGGATCCTGAGGATGAAATCTGGCCCAGACTTTCTTAGGTCTTTGAACCTGTCTGGATTAAATATGGAAATGGGCCTCTGGGTGCTGATAGGACTACCTCAGATATTTAGCAAATACATGAAAAAGCAACATGGGTTTGTCTGGTTAGACACGTAATAGCTTTTTCTAGGAACAGTGCTGACAGGATGAGACAGTAAGGCTTTTAGTGGTTTTTAAGGTTTTAATGGGGTTTTTGGTTTGTTTTGGTAGTTGCTGGTGTTTGAACTCAAGGACTCAAACTTGAACATGATAGGCAAAGTGCTGATAGGCAAGAGCTACACCCCTGGCCCTCAAAAGATGTTATGGAAGATGTCTCACTGGTTCCCTTGAAGGAGGATGTGGAGGGAAGAGCTAAAATAGGTCCTTCTTCCTTTTCTGTTGGTTCCCAAGTTAACATGAGAGGTTCCCATCTCAACCTGGCTGTGCTGAAAGTATCGTTTCCCAAGTCCCAGTGATACAGCTGTGTGCTTTCAAGGCTGAGACCCTGTTTTAGTGTCTGCTCGTAAGACAAAAAGTGTGCTTAGGTTACTTTCAGTTTGATGCTAATTATTAGAGTACTCACTTTCTAAGCCTCCCCCACCCCCAACCTAAGGGTTCACTCATACTAAGTAAGCTTTCCACTGAGCTATACCTCCAGCCCAGTTTTCCAAGTTTTTTTTGGCACATGTGGCTGCACTCTAACAAGAAAGGGAAATTTGGAGATTGACTGAAACCTCCACTAAATATTCTTAAATGTAATGGAGTTTTACTGTATATAGGGGGAGCAGGTTTTTATACCTAGAATACTTTGGACAATCTGAAGCCTGCATTATGTTTGCTAGCTACTAACTGGGACTGCATCTGTGAGGAATTATATACAGAAGAAAATACACTTTCAGCTCTTGAGGGTGGAAGGGAAGTGGGCATTTGCACCTGGACCGTGGATAGGACACCTGCTCCTCAGTCACAGTACCAGTCCTTGTCCCTGAGCTTGCTGCTGCTTCCCCTTTAGGTATGCAGTGCTTTGTGGTCAGCTGGCTGAGAATGAGGGCATCCAGAGGCGTATCCAGAGTGGCTTTAGCTTCAAGGTGAGAACCAGCTTCTCCTCCTTCCCTTGCACTAGTCTAGTCCAGGTCTCCTGCTCTTCTGGTTTTCTTGGAAGAGCATTCCCACAGCCTCTGCCTTTCCACTCTTCCCTGAGCAACTCTAGTCTGATTTGGTTTCTGTCTTCCCCTCAGGAGCACGTGGACAAAGCTATTGCTCTCCAGCCAGAAAACCCTAGGGCTCACTTTCTTCTTGGCAGGTGGTGCTACCAGGTGAGCTGTTCCAGGGCCTGACACAGTGGTCCTGAGTGTCCAGTGACACTGACAGGGTCCTCAGCTTCCTTAGTCTGGTCTGGCTCAGGTCCTGTTTCCTCTGAATGTTTGTCCTATCAGTGGTTGACCCTGTTTTCACTTCAGAATACTCATCAGTATGCTGAAAGATACTTCTTAAAAACTTTTCATCTGATTTTTTGGTGGCAGGTCTCTCACCTGAGCTGGCTAGAAAAAAAAACGGCTGCAGCTTTGTTTGAAAGCCCTCCCAGTGCCACTGTGCAGGATGCTCTCCAGAGCTTCCTAAAGGTATCAGGGAAGGGAAGGGAAGGGAAGGCAACAGCAGATGCTACGGTAACCTTGTTTCTCATTACTGGAACCCTAATAGGGGATTCTGATAAGGGGGAATTTTGTGTTCTGTGAGAAAATTAACTGGGAGAATTTACACAAATACAGATTTCTTGACTTAGTGAATCCATCTGGTTGGGGACTGGAAATCACTCTTAAACATCAGCCTGACCTGAATTTGGGCACTTTTTTGGGTGTGTGTGGGGGGGTAACCAGGGATCAAACTTGGGTCCTTGCGCTTGCGAGGCAGGCAGCGGAACTAGAGCTAAATCCCTAGCCCTGGGTGCCTTTTAATGAAATGCCTTCCTCCCTTCTCCAGGCTGAAGAACTGCAGCCAGGATTTTCAAAAGCTGGAAGGGTGTACATTTCCAAGGTAAACTCAACAATTTCAACATAGATGTCATTTTGGGATATGTGTGTGTGCTGGGAATTGAACCCAGTGCCTCACACCTGGTGGGCAGGCAGCCCAGCACTGATGGACATTCTCCCCTATTCTGGGAGCTATTCTTTTGTTCTCGTTTGATGGTGGTGGGGATCAAATCCAGTGCCTTGTATGTGCTAGACAAGTGCTGCACCATTGCTGCATCCATGCCTTGCCTTCTGGGAACTCTCAAAAGCAAACACACTCAATGCCTTTCTAGTCCCCCGGTGCTATTTCTCCCAGGCTTTCATTCTCTCTCTTCTCAGTGCTATAGAGAACTAGGAAAAAACTCTGAAGCCAGACGGTGGATGAAATTGGCCCTGGAACTGCCAGATGTCACTAATGAGGTAATTCTTTTTTAAGAGCTTTAAAATACTGGGCTGTCCCACTGAGTCATCATGTGACCTTTCCAACAAAGCACATTTAACCCTGAGATCCTATTTCCCTGGGAAAAAGCTTACACCTTCCAGTAGGATTTCTACATGCCTTTCATCCAGGGGAGGAGAGTTCATAAGCCCTAGGCTGCTAGGAAAGTAAGAGAAAAACTGCAGATAGCAGACCTCAAGGAGGAAGCAAAGGGGACCAGTGGTTTGGAAAAAGTTAAGCTCAGGTTTTGAGTACTAGGTTTTTTTTCTTCCTCTAGGATTCAGCTTTCCAGAAGGACCTGGAAGAATTGGAAGTAGTTTTAGGGGAATAATCACATTTCAATGGCCTTCAAGACTTGAGGGATACCACTCCACAATTCCTCAGACCCTGCTTTGATCAGGAAGCCAAGCAAGAAGGGCTTAGGGATGCCCTGATGACCCACTACCATTCCTCAACATCTTGTCTATTACCCATCATTAATTTATTCTAATCTGTTACCTAATCTAAATTGGGGAAGTATTTGTAGCTGTGGCTTCTATTCTTCTTCCCCTTAAGGAAAGTGGAAAATCAAGACATAGTCTGGGAAAAAAAAAAGTCTGGTACTTGCCTTAGGGTTATGAATGATGGAGTCTTGAAAACTGCCGAGAGGATGAGGCAGCCTCACTGCCCTCCAACTGCTAATGAGATGGGTGAATTTCAAAGAGCCACAGGAAAAAAGCACAGAACCTGTCATTCTAATCTTTTTCACTGATTAATATTCAACATGTATCTAGTCATAAGATCATACCCTGCCAACCAGGACACAGGAGGGGTCAGAGGAGCCAATTTATCACTTGTCATGTGGATTCTACCTGTACTCCTGGGCTGAGTGAGGGGCTGGACCACTTGACTCCCAGAATTCTGGCAGCTTTTGGAATGACAGCAGTGGCATAGAGTTTGATACTGTGAAACAATGGTCTGAAGAGTTGCCTGGAATATATTTTGGTACAAGACTGAAATAAAATGAATTTGATTAGAAATGATGTCATCCTGTTTTGTCATTACCTCTTATTTGACAGCTGTGATTGTTGTTTCCTCCTACAGAGGAAAATGAAGATAGTAGAAAAACAGTACTTCATGTTATAATAAAATAAGCTCTTTGGTTAATGCTCTTATCAGTGAAAAATTTAGTTGCATATAAAATTTAGGCAGAGAGGTTAATTTTAGCCTAAAGAAGGCCTGTTGCAACTAAAGTGCCCCAGTCCCACTTGGTTCATTTTTAGTACTAATGGCACAATGCCTAAGTTCACCTACAGAAAGATTAAGGCACATATCTAGGTCAAAGTCACTTCAGTATCTTAAGGACTATAAGACTGAGATGCCCTTACATAAGAACCAATCCTTCACTCCAGAATCTGTCATGTGGCTTTATTATAGCAACCCAAGTTTATTTTATGCAAACAAAAAGACCTGAGATATATTCAATAGAGTAAAACTTTTGTTACCCAAAGCCTAGACAAACTCTGGATGGTTACTGAACACCTTGCTTGAACACCTCTAGATCAGAAATCCTAACCAGTGAAGATGCCTCAGCCTCTGTGGGTAGCTGGGGATAAGGTGCGCACCCACCACACCTAGGCAGTTCTCTCAAATCCAGGGAACAGAACTGCTTTTAAAATATAGCTGCATTAAACTGATTTGTGTCTCCCCACATACAGGGGTGGGGTGGGGTGGTAATCAACATGCAGCAGCAGACCATCTGTGCCCCTCTTTCCAACACTAGCTGAAAGGGCCTTTGAAATTGAAAAGAGCTGGTTAAAATCCATCCCAAGTAGAAATATGAAGGGGAGGAAAAGAAGCACTTTAAACTTCTGAAATAGGATGGTGCAGAAAAGTGCCAGACTTCAACATAAGATTTATAGAAATAAAAAAGGCCATAGCTAGGAGCAGTGGCATGTGCCTATAATCCCAACAATCTGGAGGCTAGGAGGATCCCCTGAACCCAGGAGTTCAAGACCAGCCTAGGCAACACAGATCCCATGTCAAAAAATCAAAGGCCACAGGAAATCTATGGTAGATTTTTTTTTGTTTGGTACCAGGGATTGAACTTGGATCCTTGTGCTTGCGCAGCAGGCGGCAAAACCACTGAGCTAAATCCCCAGCCCCTAGATTGATCATATAATACTTTCCATTACAATAAAGGATTCAAGCTCAATCTCTGAAGGTTAGGTCTTCCTTTTTAGTTTTCAAACCTTTTGTTTGGAAGGAGTGGGGACACAGGCTACTACTATGTAGTTCAGGCTGGCCTTGAAATCACTATGTAGCCCATGTTGGCCTCAAACTCTAACCCTTGTGCCTTAGCCTCTTGAGTGCTGGAATTACTGGAATGCACCATCATGCCTGACCAGTTTAAGTTTCACAGCAATAGAAAACTGATCACCACTACCCAGTGAGATATTATGGTAACCTATCTTGAAGTGCAGCTTGTGCTAGAATGACTCCTACAGAGAGAATATTGGCTACAAATAACTATTATATTAGCCTCACACCAAATCTGCTTACACAGCCTCTGCATTGCTTCAGATTCCAGAATTCTATTTAATTTTAGCACTAAGACGATGACCAAGCAAGCAAATGAGGAAGGGATGATGGCCTTATAGGCCTTGTGTAAGACCCCTTAACCAAAAACAAGTTTTCACAGGGGAGTTCAGGTATACAACTTTAAAACTTGTTTCTGATCGACAGCAGAGTTTGTGATAGAGAAAAAGAATTTGTGACGAGGCCCATTCCCTATTCACCTGGCCATAGATCTCAGGTGTTTTAAGTTTACCATTATTCAGAAGTGATCTCCCCAGCTTTCGTTCTCTTGGAGATCAAAGACTGTCCAATAGACAGCTGTCAGAACTGAATCAGTTTGTCCCAAGGCACAAAGGAATCCCAGAGATCAACACACTCCAGAAGGAATAAACAGATCAGTTTGTGAGTACTCCCCTGGTTCCTGTTTACACCATCAGAAAAGCTGGTACAATAGGTGTTGTCCCGGAAACCCTGTATTGCAGACACAATAGGAAAAGGCTTGTGAGGAACTCTAGGGAGCAGTCCTCTCCATTAGGCTGCAGCACTTAAAAGTTCACCACAGGGGAAAAAAAACGACTCAATCTTTGGCATCTCCCACTCCATCTGCATTGATGGCAAACATAGCTTCAGCTTCAGGAAGACAGGGAGAGTCATAGATCTTGCAGATTCTGGTTTCCCCTCTTCCTTTCCTCAGGTACAGTCTGATCCAAAGACACAGACCAACATCAAGTTATTCATTCTATTTCTGATAGTTGACTTTTAAAAATCAGTTAGCACATTTATCAGTTTATATATTTCCCAAGAGAACTTTGGGAATCTTAGTGTATTTGATGCATTTCTAACCTGGAGGAATCCACTTCTGCCCTAGTCCCTCACTGGAATGTTCATATTGAAGTGAACTTTTTTTTTTTTTTTTTTTAACAATCAAGGAGAAGCACATCAATTATTTACATTCATCTTCCACAAGGAAAGATGTTTAATCTCTTTAAGAACTAAAAGCAAACACTTCTACCAACCAGAGCAGGACAATTAGATTTACTAGAATTCCTAAGTGTTAATTATACAACAGCAGCTTTATAGAGCTTAACTGAAGTTTTATCTTCATTTCTGCATCATAGTTAATATGACATTCCCTTCAAGCATCAGTATGCTATCTCCTCACCTGGTTGTTGATGCATGAGCGATGATGTTTCCTCCAATAGGTTTTTTAGGATCTGCAGAGAACATAGCTGCTCCATCCACTTGAGCTACCACCTGGTTGGTGATTACCACAGCTACACCAAACTGACAGGGAAAGGACATCAGTCTTGTGGTCACAGACATTTCCAGAAACCTAATGCTGCCACCCTCCCCGCAAAGCAATATTTCCCTTTTCTAAATTAATAACGATGTTGTTAGGCACTAATGTCTGGCCTCTCAGGAAGGCTCCTGGAATTTGTGGCCACTGAAAGTCAGCTCTGCCCTTCCCTGCAGTGTACCTCATCAGCAAGGCGCAGAAGCATCCGCAGAAACCTGGCCAAGTGCATCTGCCTGGCTGAGAGCTCTCCTCGGCCGGAGTAGTCTGTTCTGTAGAGGGCGGTGGCACTATCTACAATAAGCAGTGCATACCTAGAGGGAACAACAATCCTCTGAAGCCTATTTCTAGCCTGTGTCAGATCCTTTCCTTACCACCTAAAATCTCATATTCAGTTTCACTTGTATAGAATATAGCTGTTTTATTAAAATATTATACAGCATTCACATTTGACTCATTGTTAATAATTTTGGTGGGAACAGATTGAACCCAGGGACTTCTGCATGCTCAGTAAATGCTCTACCATTGATCTATACTCCTACCTTTGGCTTTTTTTAAAGTAAATCTTTTTATGTTTGTTTTATTAAAGACAAGGTCTTGCAATGTAGTTCAGGTGGGCCTTGAACTCATTTTGTAGTTGAGGTTAGCCTCAAACTTTGGCAATCCTCCTGCTTCAGCCTCTCAAATGCTGGGATTATAGGGGTGTACCACCAAGCTGGCAGCTTCATTTTTCATTAGCAATTTGACATACACCACAAAATAGGAACTAAAATTTAAATCTGTTTCTAAGCTATTCATGAAAGGGGCTCTTGGAACGTGCTTGGTGCTTTCTACTATACATACCTGGACTCAACCATCATGGCTGATGCCTGATAAAGGAGCTGCGTCTGGTGGTCTGTGTTGAACCCTCGAGCATATGCAACATTATCCAAAACATCACTGCCAGAGAGACCATACCTAAAAAGAACATTTGCAGGCTGCACACACAACTAAAGTAAATTATAAATGCATCTCTAACACTTAAAATTACCTAAAAGGGTAGGTAAGAAATGAAGTTGACAGTGCTTTTAAGGCCCAAGAATATAATTCCCTTTCTATTAGTAAATTCAGGCAAACTATCCATGGATGACAGCAGCAACTACTCTGGAGTAGATCTACCTGGCAAGATCTTAGGATAAATTTCTTCTTTGATGACCCAGCCCGGGCAACTCAGCAACTTAAGAGTCCCTGTCTCAAAATTAAAAAATAAAATAAGGGCTGTGGGTATAACTAAGACCCTGAGGTCAATCCCTAGTACTGCAAAAAAAAATTTGGAGATTGTTTTCTTTATTGAGAAACTTAAGACTTTGGTTTTATTTGATGTACCCATTTCCAGGGAAAAAAAATCAAAACCCACAATAGAAAAAAAAAATGTCTGGGCCATAGCAGAACCCAGAGAATATACTTTTATAATTGAAAAGTTCTAGATGCTTCATAATTGATCTTTTGATACAAAATGACCTATTCAATTTGTAACTTGTGGTTCTTGGTGTTGAGGTCCATAGGACAAACTAGGAAGTCTTCAAACATTGAGCTGAATTCCATGAAGGATTATTTGGCTTTTCAATTGTGTTTTCCTTGTCTAAGAGGTAGCAGCAGCAATAGCGGCCACCTTCTGGGCAGCTTCTTTCTTGGCATGAGTCTGTAGAACTGTCACAGCTTCATTCACCTTGGACTGGAGAGATTCAGGGGACTCGAGGATGTGCAGCAGCTCTGAGTTGTCGATCTCCAGCAGCATGCCCGTGATCTTGCCAGCCAGGTTCAAATGCATTGTTCGGATGAGCGGGAACAAACGTTCTCCCAGGATCTGGTTCTGTTCCAGGGCAGTGGGGAGGGGCCTGCAGCCAGCATGGAACTGGTCAGGGGCTCCTGCCCCTGCACATGGACTGCAGGCTGGGGTGCCTGCAGAGGCTGTATGGCAGGGTATGGGTTTCGGACACTGGAGGCATACTTGTATCGTGCCACAGCCTGAGGAGCGGCAGCAGCAACCGCAGCCCGAGGCGCAAGGTTCAGCACTGCTGTGGGAACACCAGTTGGAACCAGATGGCGAAGAGCTGGATGAGGCCCAGACTGGCATACAGCACTTGGCATTCCTTGGAAGCCTTGAGGTCTCCCACCTTGCTGCCAGTGCAGATTAGGCCCATCTGTGCCAACTGGTTAGGTGTGTAAGGAAGTCTTCCCTATTTTAAAAAAAATTTTTAAATTGGGCCGGGGATTTAGCTCAGTGGTTCTGCCTCCTGCCTCGCAGGCGGCAAGGTCCCAAGTTCGATCCCCAGTACCAAAAAAAAAAAAGTCTCTCAAAAAAATTTTAAATCAAGGATGTAAAACAGAAAAATTCTTTGCTTCAAGAAGTATTGATACGTTATATGAGAAACTCAAAATATAAATATGCAGCAAAATAAAAGATATCAGGAAAAAGGGAAGACGACCAAGAGATGGAGAGAGCATGGAGGGAAGAGAGGGGAAGGAGATGAAAAGAACTGTGTTGTGTTCATGTGCCAACTCCCCAAAATGAATGTTATCATTATGTACTGCAAACATATACCAATAAAAAAAATTAAAACTGAGAAAAAAAAGAAATATTGATGTAATTTACTATCAGGAAGAGATTATCTTTTTGCTACTAAAACACGGAAGGTTTATCACAAAAACAGAATTATCCTAACTCTTTTCTCACAAGACCATGGGAATCACTATTGTTCAGGCTCCAGAACTTGGAAAATGTTGGCCGGAAATAGTCTTTTCTCGTAGTGTGTTACGGCCTTCCTTAATGATTAGAGCAACTTGGAATACCTGTGAAAAAACAAATTCCAGGCCATAACCCAGACTCAATGAACCAAAATGACATAGGAGGTCTGATAACCCCCCCTCCCCCAAAAAAGTATGTTTTCAAGGCAGGCGCGGTGCCAGAGCTAAATCCCTGACCCAATCTCAGGTTATTCTTAACAGTTTAAGTTCAAAAAAAGCTGTTACCTCAAAGGGGCTCTGTCACCTCTCATAGTACTAAAGAGAACTTTTAAAAACTGCTAATGATTCTGTAGCTAACAATTGTGGTCATGGTTCTCAAACTTCAGCAAGCACTGGGGGTTACCTAGAGAGCTGGACTATATCCCCAGGGTCTCTGACCATTTCTAATTCAGCTGGTGTCAGAATATATGCATTTTTAATACATTCCCAGGTGAGGCTAATGCTGTGGTTCTGAGCTATAGCAACCTGCAGTTTATGGCAAAAATTAATCAATGAGAGCTCTTCTGTTGTGAATGGAAACTGGATTAGCTTACAGAGTCCAAATGACTTTACTAGATCAATTAAAATCCAAAATAAATTCAATTATAAAATTTTTCTTGCCAGGTGAAGTGGCACATGCCTGTGTAATCTCAGCTACTTGGGAGGCTGAGGTAGAGAATTGAGGCCAGCCTAGGCAACTTAGTAGGAGATCCTATCTCAGTGAGTGCCCGGCATGTAGCTCAGTGATAGAATGCATGTCTACTATGTGTGAAGGCCCTAGTAGTGTGTGTGCATGTGGGGTGGCGGATTCTTGATAGGCAGATGTGATTACAATGAATTAATGAAAGCTAGGCATGACAACTGTATTCATTCTCAGCACTCTAAGGTTGAGGCAGGAAGATTTCAAACTGGAATTCTGGCTGGGGAAGTTAGCAAATCTGCCTCAAAATAAAAGCAGGCTAGGGGACGGGGATTTAGCTCAGTGGCAGAGCGCCTGCCAGCACAAGGTGCTGAGATCCCCAATACAGGGTGGGGGGACAAGAGAAGCAAGCTAGGGATGTAGCTCAGTGCCAAGGCCCTGAGTTCCATCCCTAGCACAGCAAAATCATACAGTGTGGACTGTGGTTAGCTGCTATCATTTGGCATGTCTGAAACTCATCTTGGAGTAATATATGTGAACACTTAGTTCTTTTTATTGCTGAAGAGCACGTCCACTGTATGGATAAAATAATTTTTATTAATTTACCATCTGATAAGATACACGGGCTGTTCCCTGGTTTTGATTATTACGATTATACTGAAATATTCACATTCAAGACTTTGTATGAAATGTTTTTATTTCTCTTGGTTATATAACTAGAGTCAAATTCCTGAGTTATATGGTTAAATTTTATCTTTATTTGCGGTGTAGGGGATCAAATCCACAACCTTGAATATGCTAGGCAGGCATGCTAACACTGAGCTACATTCCCAATTCTATGTTTAACTTTTTAATAAACTGGCAGACTGGGCTGGGAATGTAGCTCAGTGGCACAGCGTCTCCCTGGCAAGTGTGAGTCCCTGAGTTTCTCAGTACAAAAAAAAAAAAAAAATTGGCTAATAAACTGGAAACTATTTTCTAAAGGACCATTTTACACTCTACCAACAAAATATGAGAGGTTTAGTTTGTCTATATCCTCCCCAACATGTTACTGTGTCATTATAGCTATCACGGTGAGGGTGAAATGGTAGCTGATTATGGTTTTAATGTGATTTCCCTGATGCTTAATGATGTTGAATATCTGGCCCACGTGCTCATCAGTCATTTGTACATCCTCTTTTGAGATCTATTCAAATTCTTTGCTAATTTTTTAAACTGGGTTATCTTTTTGTTGTTGGGCTGTAAGAGTTCTATATGCTCAATACTGGACTATTACTACATAGATGATTTGTGAATTTCTTCTTACACTCTGGGTTTTCTTACTTTTTAGGGGAAGGGAGACTGAGCTATATACCCAGCCCTTTTATAAAAACTTTATATTATTTTATTTTTATTGTATTAGGGACTGAAACCAGGGCCTTCACACTGAGCAACATTCCCATCCTTTTTGTGCCTTTTTTTTTTTTGGTACCGGGGATCAAACTCGGGACCTTGCACTTGCGAGGCAGGTGGTGGAACAACTGAGCTAAATCTCCGGTCCTTCCTTTTTTTACTTTTTGAGACAGGATCTAAGTCATCAAATTGCCCAGGCAGGGCTTGAACTTGCAATCCTTCTGCCTCAGCCTCCTAGAGCACTGCGATTATAGATATGCACTACTATACCTTTGAGACAAGTTTCAGGCTTGCTTCAAACTTTAAATCCTCCTGACTCAACTTCCCCTCACTTTCTTGATACACAAAGATTTTTAATTTTGATGAAGGGAAAACTGACTCATAATTTCTTCTTCATGGACTGTGCTTTTAGAATGCACCACCATACCCCAATATCTCTGTGATTCTGAAGATTCTAAGTACCTCAAATAAGTAAAATCAGAGTATTTGTCCTTTGTCACTAGTAATTTTATGTATTTTCAATTGTCAGTTTTTGTTTCATGTAGTTTGGGGTTCTTGTTAGGTATGGGTCTATGCGTCTTCCTGATGAACTGATATTTTCATTTCTTTTCTTTTTTTTTGGTCCCTGGGATTGAACTCGGGTCCCTGGGCTTGCACAGGAGGCAGCGAAACTGCTGAGCTAAACCCCTGGGCCGTGAACTGATATCTTAATTATAAAATTTCTTTATCTCTAGCAAAAAAATTTTTTTTGTTTTGAAGTGTATTTTTTGGGGGGGTACTGGGGATAGAACTTAGGACTTCGGACTTGGCAGGCAGGTGCTGTGCCCCTGAGCTACATCCCTGGCCCTGAAGTCTATTTTATTTAGTACAGCCATTCGATCTCTAGCGATTGTTGTTTGCATATGATACCCTTTTCCTTCCTTTCTCTTTCAAACTATCTTTAAGTCTAAAGTGTTTCTCTGGAAGACAATATATGGTTGGATCTTTATTTTTATCTATTATGGCAGTAACTCCTAGATTGCTGACTGAAGAAAGTCATTTTTTTTGAACCACATAATAACTGCAATACAGAGCAATGAGACATTTTCAAGTCAAAACCCTGGCAATAATACAGTGGCAGACGCAACCATATCCTCTTGTGTAATTTACTAACCCACCTCTCAGCCACTGCTAGGAGCCGTTCCGGCCTAAAGGTACCCTCAGTATCGATGTACATGGCCTTCCCTTCACCTCCACCTCGGTCAATGGGAAGCTAAAGAGGAAAAAGAAGGAAACAATTGAAATGATTATATTTCTTACAGAGTTGATAAATTTCCTCATGTTGGGTCTATAATTCCTCTCACTCCCAATAAAGGGAAAACACATTGGAATGAAAATCAGAGGCAAGGAAGCATTCCCGTTTGACAGAAATCCAGCCAGCAGTAGACATGAAGATCATTGTGTCTCATAGCACAGGAAGGCAGAGGCTTGTCACAGTTGCACTGCTTGGAAATGAAGTTCAAGTGGTTAAGCAGTGAGAGACAGAGAGACAGACCCTGACCCACTACCCGATTAACCTCAACATGTCCAGACCAAACTTCACTTTAATTTTTTTTCAAAATTCACTTTATTGACCTGAGGGTTCTAACGGGGTCTGTCAATGCCACAGAAGCATCCTTAGCAAGTATAAAGAATGAACAAGAGGGCTGGGGATTTAGCTCAGTGGTTCTGTCGCTTGCCTTGTAAGAGAAGGGACCGAGTTCAATCCTCAGTACCAAAAAAAAAACAACCAGAAAAGAAACAATTTTTGTTTTTGAGACAGGGTCTCACTGTCATTCCAGCTGCCCCTGAGCTCACTATGTAGCCCAGGTTGGACTTGAACTTGTGGTGTTCCTCCTGACTCAACCTCCCAAGTGCTGAGGCCACCATGCCCAGCACTAGGTTCCTTTTTGTAAAATGAAGATAAAACCTATAAGGATTTTTAAAAAAGATAAATAAAATAATATAAATCATTTAAACGGTGACAATACAGAAAGTATGCTTTGAAATTATGATTTCTCTGACATTTAGGGTACTGATTTTACTCAATACTCATTTATAGAAGGCTGTCTTATTATTTTATTTTGCAGTACTGGGATTAAACTCAGAGCCTTTGCACTCAGCTTTATCCCCAGCCTGTTTTAAATTTTTTACTTGGAGATAGACTAAACTCCCCATGTACCACCATGCCTGGCTGCTATTACATTATCGTTTGGCAGGTCCACAGATAAAAATCCTCAGTATCATGGAAACAAAGAGGGAGCAAAGGACATGTACACAACAAAAAGGAATCATGAGCTGGGTGTGGTACATGCCTGTAATCCTAGCACTCTTAGAGGCTGAGGCAGGATGACAAACTCAATGGCAGCTTGGATAACTTAGTGAGACCCTGAATCAGATGGGGAGATGGTGAGGAGAGTTTGACAGATGAGGGATAAAGAGCCATTAGCCAATAGAAAAGAAAGCAGAAGTTGCCTCAGGTTTTTGGAGAATAGGAAATGTGGACACTTTGGGGACTAAGTCTCCCAGAAAATAAGATGAAGGGGATCCCTCCTTTCCTCAACTTCTGCTATCTTCAGTGCTAGAGGATTCATTTTTTGGTGTAGCGCGGGGGTGGGGGGGTGGGGGGTGCTGGGGGTTGAACCGAGGTGGTTTTTTTTTTTGGTACCGGGAATTGAACTCGGGTCCTTGCACTTGCCAAGCAGGCGCCAACACCATTTATTAAATAGGCTATCTTTCCTCCAGTGAGGGTGCTTGGCTTTGTCAAAGATGAGGTGGCTGAATATGTCTGGAGTTGTTTGTGCATCTAATCTATTCCACTGATCCTCAGGTCTGTTTCTTTGCCAGTAACACGCTGTTTGTGGTTTTTTTGTGTGTATCGGGGATCAAACTCGGGACCCTGCACTTTACAGGCAGGTGCTGGAACCACTGAGCTAAATCCCCAGCCTCACTGTTTTTATCACAGTAGCTTTGTAGTATTGTTTCAAGTTGGGGATTGTGATACCCCCTGCAACATCTCTGTTGCCTAGGATTGCTTTTGCTATTCTAGGTCTCTTCTGGTTCCTAATGAATTTTTGGGTTGTTTTCTCTAGTTCCGTGAAATATACTGCTGGAATTTCAATTGGCATTGCATTAATCTATATAGCAATTTTGAAGTATGGCCATTTTCACTATATTGGTTCTTCCCACCCAGGAAGGGCTGTCTGTCCATTTTCTTATATCCTCTTTGATCTCTTTTTTCAGAGTGCTGTAGCTTTCAGTGTAGAGGTCTTTTGTTTCCTTTGTTTTTGTTTTTTTTGGTACGAGGATCAAACTCAGGACCCTGGGCATGCAAGGTAGGTGGTGGATTGCTTCCTTTGTTATAAAAAGTTTTTGTTTGGGGACAGGTCTCACTAAGTCATTAAGCTGCCCAGGCTGAGCTCAAACTTGCAAAGATAATCTAAGAGAAGTAGGCCAGGAAATGGAAGAGGACCTCACGAGAGGGTGGCAGGACATGGGAACCACATCACACTGGGAAGGGTGGGCTGTTGAATGGAAAAGACACTGCTTGCACTGTTAACTTGAGATAAGAAAAAGATGGGTATAGGGGAGCTGAATTCATACATTTGATGTAAAAGTAGGTTAGGTCACCGGCTTTGAGTGATGGTGGAAAAGGAGCATGAAGGTTTGAGGAGAGACAAAATATGAGATTATTCCTTTGGGTGGGAAAGTATAGCCTAAATGGAGAAAAAGCAGGTAAGCCAAGCTGTAGTGAATGCTAATCCTGGTAGTCATCTTGAATTTCAAGTGAAATCAGTTAGCTTCATGGTATAACTTTTTTTCAGTACGATCAGCAAAAAATTTGGGTTCAAGTACTAAGAAAATAGATGGAGTTGACGTAAGGTTGGTGTCCCCAAGTAAGTATGTAAGCGCAAGCATCTGTGAGGGACAACGTCTTAAATGATAACGTAAAATGTAGGCTAAGGAAGAAAAGGGCAGTACACCAGGAGAGGCCTAGGGGATGGTAAGAAAGTAACTGAAGTTAAGTGAATTCAAAGTTTCTATGATCTGATAGAATTTGCAGAAATTTTCTACCTAGTTATAGGATTCCAGAGGACAGAGAAAGTGCATCCTATTATGTACATCCTAACAGATGCTTACCAAGAATATAGTCAATCAATCCCTGATTTGATTAGCAAGAGCCCCAAACCTCACCTGGCACGTGACAGCCAGAGTGTGACAGATCTGAGTCTTCCCAGTTCGGAATTCTCCAAACATCTCTGTGATAGATCCAGTCTCAATTCCACCTAAAAGAGCAATAGGAAGCACTTCTTAATGTAAGGGTTTACAAACTAATCACAGAAATGTTCTTGGAGCTCTTTAGAAAGATATTTACAAAAGTTGGAAATCCAATTTCTAACAAGCAGTTATTTGGTAAAAACTTATTATTTTTTTGGAACAGGGTTTCACTATGTAGCCCAGGCTGGCCTTGAACTCGCAGGCGAATTCTCCTGCCTCAGCCTCCTGAGTGCTGGGATTACAGGCATGCACCACCACACACAGCTCCAGGAAAAACTTATTTTGAAATAATTATAGTTTACAGAAAGTTATAAAGTATGGAAATATGCACTCTTCACCTGGCCTCCCCCAATGTCAAGATCTTGCATAGCTACCATATACATCAGATATCTACATCAGAATGCTGACATCAGTACAATCTAAAGAGTTCACACAGATTTCTCCAGTTATATATGCATTCATATGTGTGGATGTATAGTTCTGAGCAATTTTATCCAATGTGTACCTTCATGTAACTACTATCACATTCAAGATTCAGAACTGTCTCATCCCATGTCATTTAAAAGCAGCCATTTAAAAAGAAGACTGTAAGTAATATCATCAAATATTTACTAACCATATGTACTTAGTATTGTGCTACACTCATTGCTTTATAGTTCAGGCTGGCCTTGAACTTGCAGTCCTACTGCCTCAGCTTCTTGGGTGCTGGGATTACAAGTGTGTACAACCATACCTAGTTTTTTGTTTTTGTGGTGTTTTTTTTGGATTTTTTTTTTCCATACCTAGTTTTTCATTTATTTTTTTTTGTTGAGATTGATTCTTGACCTCATGCTATTTCGTACCCCCAAAAGGGAGAAAAGCTGAATTGGTGTTATGGATTGTTATCTAGAGGTCCTCCCAAAGTCTATGTGCTCAAGGTGGGGCTTTTCGGAGGTGACTAGATCATGGATGTGTAAATATGGATTAAGGGTGTTCCTAACTACATTAGTCCACTGATTGATTTAGCATAATTGTGGGTGTAGAGGAAGCCCCACCTTGGGTGTGGGTGGTATCAACCAATAGGCTTGCAGCCTGGATGGGACGAAAGGGAAAGGGAGGCTCACTGCTTTGCTGCTTCCTGCCTACCTCACCATGAACTGTTTTTCCTGTCATGTTGTCCTGCCTGGGAGCCAGCTGACTATGCACTGAAACCTCTATAAACTGTGAGCTAAAATAAACCTTTTCTCTTTTAATTTCAAGTGTTGGGTATTTTGTTTCAGCAACAAGAAAGTAACTAAGACAATTAGATAAAGAACCCAATCTAACTTTATAAGAATTAGGACAGCTATGCTTCTAATAGTTCAAAAACCTTAATTTTCCTTAAAGTCTTAAAGATTAGCGTGTCTTACACATTAAGTAGTAGTCACATACAGAGTGTTTGGGGGCTGGGAGTCTAGCTTAGTGGTAGAGTACAAGAGGGCCTTAATCCCAAATTAACAAACATACATGCACTTTTTATTCAATCATCAATTTTTTGGGTGTGATGGCACACACCTGTAATCCCGGCACACACCTGTAATCCCAGCACTCAGGAGGCTGAAACAGGAGGATCGCCTTGAGTTTGAGGCCAGCCTAGGCTACATAGTGAATTCAAGTCCAGCCTGGACTACATAAAGTGAGACCCTGTCTAAAAATAAAAATAAATAAATAAATAAATAAATAAATAAATAAATAAACAAACATTTAATTTGCAGATAAATTTAGCATTTCCCAAGTCAGGTCTCACCCTGAAGCAGTCTTGTTCCTTTAATGTCCATGCTTCTCTTAGCTCTTAGGCACATCTAACAAGTAAATCCTACCCAAATATTTTAGTTTTATTCTGTATCCTGAATGTGTTGCTGAGAGTTTACAGCACTAGATTAAAGGACAACTATACCTTGAAGTAGTTTGTCAAGCTCTTTGGAGCCAGTAGTAATCTGTATGATCTCTGACCTCCTTTGGTGGAATTCAGTTGCAGTGGTGAAACCCATTGGAACTAATTTAGCTGCCTCAGCCTGGGGAAAATAAGAAATGTTAAATCAACAAAATATAGGTTGAGCAACCCTTATCTAAAATGCTTGGAACCAGAATTTTTGTTTTGTTTTTTGAGACAGGGTCTCCCTATGTAGTTTAGGCTGCCCTTGAGCTCTCTTCCATACTTCTATCTCAGTCCTGAGTGCTGAGATTACAGGTGTGCGCTACTGCCCCCAGCTAGATTTTGGGATTCCTGAGTAGAATTTACCAGTCAAATATCTTTAATCCAAAAAGCTCCAAAATCTTAACCCTTGAGTGTCATATTGGTGCTCAAAAAATTTGGAGCAGTTTGGATTTCATTCAGCATTTTGGATTGGGGATGATCATCCTAAATTAGTAAAACAAGAACCAGGGGGGCTGGGGATTTAGCTCAGTGGTTCTGCTGCTTGCCTCGCAAGCACAAAGTCCTGAGTTCAATCCCCAGTACCAAAAAAAAAAACAAGATCCAGGGAAGAGAAAACATATAGCAAAACTTCCAGAATGATTTCTTTTTAAAAAAGAAATCTGGAAGGCTAAAGTAAGAGGATCTCTGCATTTGAGGCCACCCTGAACTATATAATGAGACCCTGTTTCAAAAAACAAAACAATACAAATACACTTTTAAAAAGTCATCATAAGGATGGAGTCAGAGACTCCATAAAGGGTTTTCTCGGATGTTGCTAAGAACTGAACCCAGGGCTTCATCCAGGCTACACAAGAAGATCCATTTTTAAACTGCCAATTCAGTTTCAGTAGTTAAAGAATTATAGAACTAGGGCTGAGGATTTAGCTCAGTGGTGCCGAACCTACCTCACAAACACAAGGTCCTGAGTTCGATCTGTGGTACCGAAAAATATTATAGAACCATATAATGTACCTCACATAATTTATGACAGTATAATACATATTTATACCTAACTTCCTATTCTGTCAACTATAGACTATACACTATGTGTCCTCACTTCCTACATGGACATTTATCCTTCCATCTTTTCTTCTTCATGTCTACTTCTCTCTATCAGCTATACATTTTCATTTACACTACCAAAGCTGAAAACATTTGCACCCTATTTGGTAACCACAGATTTCTTCTATGACAGGGCTGAATCCCCAGTATTGCAAATAGATACAAATTTTTAAAAATACAGGAACCTGGGCATGGTGGTGCAAGCCTGTAATCCCAGCCTTTGGGAGGCTGAGGCAGCCTAGGCTATAGCGAGTTCAAGGCCAGCCTAAACTACATAGCAAGACCCTGTCTCAAAACACCAAAAGAAAACTAAATAAATATATATGTGTATAAAAAAATAAAATGCAGGAGTAGGGTATAGCTCAGGAGTATCATGTTTGCCTAGCACATATGAGATCCTGAATTGATCCCTAGCAATGCATAAATAAACAAGTCCAATCACAATTATGTAGAAATTAAACCTCACACTCCTAAATAATCATCAGTCAAAGAAAAAGTCACAAAAGAAATTAGAAGCTACTTTGAAATGAATGAAAATGAAGACACAACAAAAGGGCGTAACAGTAGTGCTTAGAGAGAATTTATAGTTGTGAATGCCTATACTAGTAAAGACTTCAAATTATAACTTAAGATACCGGAAAAAGAAAAGCAAACTAAGTGTAAAGCAAGCAGACAGATAAAATAATATAAATTAGAACATAAATTAGTGAAATGGAAAACAGAAAAATAGAAAAAAAAAATCAGTGAAGCCAAAAGTTAGTTTCTTTTCTTTCTTTTTTTTTTTTTGGCACCGGGGATCAAACTCGGGTCCTTGTGCTTGCACAGCAGGCAGAGAAACCACTGAGCTAAATCCCCGGCCCCAAAAGTTAGTTTCTTGAAAAGATAAAATTGACCAACAACAAAAAAGGAAGCCTCAAAGTGCTAAAATCAGAAATGAATAGAAGGGATACTACTAACAATCTCATAGAAATAAAAAGAACTTAATTATAAGGGGACTATTTTGAATAATCCTATGTCAACAAATTAGGTAACTTATAAATACAATTCACTGCAGAACTGAATAGTGTGCTAGAAATACAATTCTTGCTGGGTGTGGGGATGCACACCTACAATCCTAGCACTCAGAAGGCTGAGATAGAAGGATCACCATGAGTTTGAGGACAGCTTGGGCAACAGTGAGTTAAAGGCCAGCATAACTACACAGTGAGGCCCTGTCCCTCCCAAACAAACAAACAAACAAACAAACCACCCCAAAAAACAATTCTTTTCTGTAATGTTCCAATGTTACCAATGCTTTGTCTCTCAATGGTTTCTATTTTCAAATCCAAATGAATTATTTTTTAATCTGCCACCAGTTTCAAAGCCATATCCTATTTTACCCTCCTGTAAACCTGAACATTTCTCCTTTTCTTTAGCATTCTTTGACTGTATCATTTGTCAAGTTTTCCTAGTCTCTCAATCCTACTATGTATTCTACTTCATGTAAGTCCCCCTTTCCACCTGAGATCCTCATTCCTGTGGCTGGGTATGTAGCTCAGTGTTATACATAGTGTGCGCTTACCATGCACAAGATTATGGTTTGGCACATGCACATGTAATTGATAATAATAAATAAATAATAGAAATCCTCATTTGTTCTCCAACCAAGACTGCACTTGTAGGGTTCTATTGTTCTGGGTATTCCTTCACTGAGTATCTGAATTGAAGCCACTCTAACCTAGATTCTGTGTTTTTTCTTTTTCTTTCCTTTTTGGTGATATTGAGGATTGAATCCAGATAGCTACATCATTAGCCTCCTTTCTTTTAAAATTTTTATTTTGAGACAGAGTCTCAATAGGTTGGCCGGGCTAGCCTTAGAACTTGTGATCCTCCCGCCTCAGCCTCTGAGTAGCTGGTATTCAAGCACGCACTACCATGTCTGGCTAGGATCTAGCACCTGCTGAATAAATTACTTCATTCACAATCTTTCTCACCTATTTTGATTTATATTCTTATAATGTTTTTCCCCCCGTGTGGAGACAAGTCTTCTCTCTCTACTGTGACAATAGATTTTTTTTTATTTTTGGTTTTTGGAGGAGTCTCGCTATGTGTATGTACTTCATTCTGGCCTTAAATTCACTTTGTAGCTCATGCTGGCCTTAAACTCTTGATGATCCTCTTGCCTCAGCCTCCCGAATGCTAGAATTACAGGCATGCAACACACTCAGCTTGACAATGGTTATTTCTGTTAAAAGTCTCAATTTCAAAGACACTGGGGGGCTGGGAAAGAACAGCCACATTGACTACTGTAGACAAATCTTTTTCTTCCGTCCTGTGTTGCTTGGACTGAAATTAGGGCTTCACATATTCTAGGCAAACAATCTATTCCTGAGCACCACCCTGATCAATTATTTTCACCATTTAAAAACAATACAATTATAATCTTTTAAGAATCAGAAACTAAAAAGAAACTCACAACATAAAATGCCTGAAATCAGAGCACACAGAAAAATAAAGATACACAGATCTACAAAATCTACATACATATCTGCATCATGTTCACTTAAACGTTTATATTTAGGTATTCAAAATAATTGATATGATTTCTAAAACTAACATCTGACAGGGGATAAGCGAAGATCCAGTCAGCAGCTGTTCAGTCACAAAAACTGATGCCCTGGGAGTGATACCAAATAGACTTTAGGGACCTCTATTGGCTTAGCCAATAACACAATCTTTTAGCAAAGCATTAGGGACTCAGAACTTTGTTTACAATTAAACCACCAAATGAACACTTGTTTGGGTAATTAAATAAATGCTAACTTCATACTTACATGGATAGCAACATCTTTACATTTAGGGCTTAACTTAAGAATCACTTATGGTAGGACTGGGGATTTAGCTCAGTGGTTCTGGAGCCTGCCTTGCAAGTGCAAGGTCCCAAGTTCAATCTCCAGTACCAAAAAAAAAAAAAAGAAAAAAAAAAAGAATTACTTAGGGTAATGGAAATAGTCTTTGTAAAGAGGGAGGGATGGAGGGGTTGAAGGGAGGGCAGAGGAATGGGGAAAAAAAGTAAGAACCAAGATATGTCATGTAGGGGCCGGGGATTTAGATCAGTGGTGCTGCCGCCTGCCTCCCAAGCACAAGGTCCTGGTTCGATAGCCAGTACAAAAAAAAAAAAAAAAGATACATCATGTAAAGGTACAAGTTCCCAGTGATGAATGTAATTGTACTGTATACCTAAAATGTACCAATAAAGTTAATGAAAAAAAAAAGAAAGAAAGAAAAGAATTACTACTTATGGTTTTTAAGCACTGAATTTTCCAGATTGGTGCTAAATAAATATCTGAAGTTACAGCCCTGCCAGTACTTAAAAATTCAAAGCTCTTAGTTTAAGAATATCCAGTCAAGCTGGGCATGGTGGTGCATGCCCGTAATCCCAGCACTCTCGAGGCTGAAGTAGGAGGATCACTGTTGAGTTCAAGGACAGCCTGAACTACAAAGTGAGACACTGTCTCAACAAACAAACAAACAAACAAACAAACAAACAAACAAACAGAATATCCAGTCAGCTAGGTCTGGTGGTGTACGCTTGCAATCTAGCCACTCTGGGAGGCTGAGGCAGAAGGACTGCAAATTGGGGCCCAGCCTGGGGAACTTAGTGAGACCCCTGTTGCAAAGGCTGGGGATGAAGCTAAGTGTGAAGGACCTGGGTTCAATCCCAAGTACAAACAAACAAAAACAAACCCCCCCACTGTGAATATCTAATCTAACAGTATGGGTTACATATACTAATTTATGATGAGACATTAAGTAAGTATACCAAAGGTTGGATTTTGTTTGTTTTGAGACAGGGTCTTACTATGTAGTTCAGGCTGGCCTCGAACTCAGAGATCGTCCTTCCTCAGCCTCCTGAGTGCTGGGATCATAGGCATGCTTGACCATGCTCGACTAAATGTTGGATTTGTTTTCCATTTGACTAAGTAACATGGCAAAACTAAATGTAATGAAGCTACTCAATAATAAAGAACACATTCTTTTTTGAAGATTCTTCAGCTTTCGATGATTTTTTTTAAAGAAAATTTCTCCAAAAGTGTAAAGGTAAGCAATATAATATAAGGAAATACAATTTATAATCATTCAGTTTATTCTATGTAAAACTTCAAAGATGAAGCTAGGCTGTGGGCACAGCCCAGTGGTAAAACACTTGTTAGCATAGAAGCTACTGATTTAATCCCAATTTCCAATGAGACTCTTTTGGGTGGTTCTGGGGATTGTACCCACGGCTTCACATATGTTAGGCAAGTGATCTATTGCTGAGGTATATCCCCAGCTTTAAAAAAAAATTTTTTTTGGTGGTATTGGGAATTTTACCCAGGGCCTTTTAATGAGCTATATCCCCTGTCCTTTTTACTTTTTAGAGAGAGGGTCTCACTAAGTGGCTCAGGTTAGGCTTGAATCTACACTCCTCCCACCTCAGTCTCCCAGAGTGCTTGGATTAGAGGTATGCACCACTACACCTGACTTTATATTTAAAACTTTCTTTTGAGCCAGTCTCACTAAGTTACCCAATTTGGACCAGAACTTATGATTCTCTTCCCTCAGTCTCCCAAGTTGCTGGAATTAGCTGGGGATGTAGCTCAATGGTAGGGAGCCTGCCTACCATGGGTGCAGCCTTGAATTTGATCCTAGTACCAAAACAAACAGAAACAAAACACAAAACACAAAACCCAAGCAGCTGGAATTACAAGTCATGGCACCATGCCCAGCTGATGAATATATTTCCAGGATATAAGATCATAACATCTAAAAAGATAAGGTACACACCAGTCTTTGCTGGTGGAAATGTAGACGGATCATCAGTTTGGCAGCATTTATGTCAAATTCCATGATAATGCAATTCTCTACAGAAAAAGTGAATTTATGCAAGGAGACACACATAAAGATAAGAAACTGGTGATCCAGTTACTTTTACGAAACAGGATGACAACAGAATGAGGGGTAGGAGAAAGACTACCTTTCACCATAAACCTATTTGTACTATTCCTACTAATGCATCCCTAGCTGTACTTACCAGAATTTTATCAGCTTTGGCTTCACTAATTCCTTTTATATTTGTTAACTCCTTCTTTGGTGCATAGGCAACAGCCTCCACAGTATGGAATCCAGCTTCTTCTAATTTCTTCACATCATTGGCATTTATGCCACACTGCTGTAAAGAAAACCATGGAAATTTTTTTTGGTACCAGGGATCAAACTCGGGATCTTGCACTTTTGAGGCAGGCAGCAGAACCACTGAGTTAAATCTCTGGCGCTGTGGAAATTTTTAAGCTTCAATTTTCTCATCTAATGTAAAAACTGTGATCAACCTGCTTCACAGAAGTGTGTGAAGACTGGTATTACACACAAAAGTTCTGAGAAGTGTGCCTTCCACATGAAGTATTATATAACAAGTTATTAAACTATTATCAAAACCAGTAGTTTTAAACTAGCACTATCCCATGTATATCAAAGTGGACTCTTGCTGAGTGTGGCAGCACATATCCACAATTCCAGCTACAGTATTCAGAGGTGAAGGAGGATCCCAAGTTGATGGATATTCTTAGCAACTTAGTGGGACTGTCTCAAAAATAATTTAAAAAAAAAAAAAAGGCCAGGGAGGTAGCTCAGCAGTAGAGCACCTACCTAACAAGTATGAGGCTCTAGATTCAATCCCCAGTACCACAAAACCAAACCAAAACTCCAATGTGATGGGCGTGGTGGTACATGACTGTAATCCCAGCACTCGGGAGCCTGAGACAAGTGGATCACAGTGAGTTCAAGGCCAGCCTGAATTGCATAGCAAGACCCTCAGAAAAAATAGAAAAGATTCTCATTAGGAATTGGGATGAAATCAGTAGCTCCCAACCTTTTTTGACTATGACCCTAAATGAACTTTGAGACCTCAAGCCCTCAAAGGTCACTTTAAAACTGTTTAACAAACCTTCCCACATTAAGCACAGACAGAAAACATTGTTTTTACACTGTGCCAGGGCAAACAGAGAAGAGTGACCCGAAGCTGACACTGAGAAGAAGGAAAACTACGTCGGGTCACTAAATATGATAACTGTAATACCACTTCTCAAAGCAAACCACACCATAGCACCTTTTCTCCCCATGTACAAGGTTTGCTTTGGTTTTATTACCACTGAAATCATGAACTCTGAGACAGCATCAGTTACTGGAGGGATGTATATATATTTGGGGTTCAAAGAGGATTCAGGAGAAAGGAGATTATGGAAAACCATGCCTGGTGTTAATACTTAAGTAATACCCATTTGTGAATATAAGGGTGCTCATGAAGCCAGGCCTGTAATCCCAGCACTCTGGGAGCCTGAGGCAGATGGACTGCAAATTTGAGCCCAGCCTGGGTAACGGCCTGGATGTGAACTCAAGTACTGAAGAAAAAAAAGGTTATAATTCTCAAATATCTATCATAAATCCACTTTAGTAATTTGAGAGCTCTGAAGCTTTGTTGAAGATCGGAAAAATATACAAAAGGTGACAGAAGAATCAAGCTTCCCCCCCTACTTCTTTCAATCCAAATCAACTGTACTCACAGTGAGGCCTTTGTATGCTGTGAAGCAGAAGTACTGGAAAGCCTCAGCTTCGGTGCTTCACATTCTTAGGCAATCACAAATTTGAGCTAGGTTGTTAAACCTTAAAAAACCCCAGTCAGGGCTGGGGATTTAGTTCAGTGGTTCCGCCGCCTGCCTCGCAAGCAGCAGGACCTGAGTTCAATCCCCAGCACCAAAACAACAACAACAACAACAAAAAACACCCCAGTCTTTTTTTCTGCCTATGGAAACTGTCTGCACAGACATGGGTCAATGGAGGAAAGCTACTTTCTTCTTCTCCCTGCATAACTAGTTCAGGGCCACTTTAATACTCTGGACAGCACTTCCATTATTAGTATAAGCAGCACTCAATCCCAGTACTGAAAAAAATAAAATTAAAAAATAAACAAAACAACAACAACAACAAAAACAATTATGATTAGCACTGAGATTCCACCATGGGATCCTAGGCCTTAGTTTCTTACTTTCTGACAATTCATCTCAGGAAGGAAAAATGATAAAGTAGGAAGAGTATTACTGATGAAAGAAGAAATCTGGCCAGACATGTTTAACAATAACCTCAAGCCTTTTCACAGGGTTCTTGACAACCTCCTGAAAACCTAATTTTTTTTTTGGTGAGGAGGGTAGTAGGAATTGAACCCAGGGCTTTGTGTATGCTAGGGAAGTACTCTACCAGTAAGCTATATTCCAGTCTTTTTTTCCTTTAATTTTTTTTGGCAGTACCGGGGATTGAACTCAGGACCTTGTGCTTGCGAGGCAGGCACGGTGCCACTGAGGTAAATCGCTGGGCCTCCTTTAATTTTTTGACAGAGTCTCACTAGGTCGTCCAGGCTGGGCCTGAACTTGTGATCCTTCTGCCTCAGCCCCCAAGCAATGGAAGTATGTGCCACCATGTCTGGCTCTAATTTGGGTTTTGACGTTAGTAACAAACCTATGGTTTATGTAAAAGGCTGACAGTACCCATTAGGAAGAAGAATCTAGTAGAGCATTACAATAAAAAAAATTAGCAATTAAGAACATACCTCCAACCGTGAAATAGGCTGTGGGCCAAAGCTTTCTTCTTCCACTGAAGTGTCTGCACTTGCTTCAAGCTGCATCTGCATGGCCATTACTGAAAAACACAGATGGCCATAAACACTAGAGAAATACTGTAGAGATCAGGAAGACCTCCTTACCCACTGGTTCTGCATCAAAGATTTGATGACGACGATGATGACGGATTCAACTAATTGTAGACTGAAAGTATTTGCTTAAAAATATGTCTGAACTGAACACATACAAACTTATTTCTTGTTATTATTCTCCCAAACAATACAGTATAATAACCATATAAATCACTGGCATTATATTTGGTATAATAGGCAATCTAGAGATGATTGAAAGTTATGTGGGAAAATGTGCAGAGATTGTTCACAAAGATTACTGTTTTATATAAGGAAATTGAACAGCTTCAGATTTTGGTATCTTAGTGGGGTAGGGGATTCTAGAACCAATCCCCCAAGAATACTGAGAAACAACTCTACTTGATAAGCTGACCTACCTACGGTAGGAAAAAGAGCAAACCTCTTCTCTAGCTAGCCAGCTAACTATCACAGACTTTCAGAAGAGCCAGGTTCACTCTGCTTCTTACACATACACACCTTAATCAGATTAACTATTTCCCCTGTTCTCCTATTTTATAGTCCTAGAGGACAGGGGCCCAGTCTATTTATTTTTACATATATTCACAATACATTATAAATGTTAGGTGTTTGGTAAACATATCCAGACTTTACAGGACTAGAATTTAAATTTTTTTAAAATTGACAAACAGTTAAACTGCTTCAGTTCCATTGTTTCCTTCCAGCAAGAAGGTTGGGGAGGTGGGGAGACAATGAAATTAGGTCCAGAATAGTTGGTCACAGGACAGAGAAAGTGTAGACTGACATAAGCATCTCCCATCTTAGGCAGGGGTCCTAGCTTTCGGTCCAACAGGAGCATTTGAAATTTAAAGATCATTATTTTAGTCAATTTCCAACTTCAGTGAGTAATAAAATGACAAAAAAACAAGTACCTTGCTCAGTCTGAAATACTGCATTTAAGTGTAAGGCTAGTTTGATAGTTATGACAGCTGGAAAAGAACTGAGAACAAAACCTTTTAAATTATTTTCAAAGTGTGTTAGTAAAACTGAACAAGTCTTTATGTTCATAAGAATAAATGGATTTAAATCACATCAAAAGAACCTGAAAAAATACAGGCAAATTTAACCCAAAAGATAACAGATATAAACTTCACTTTTGGATACTTGACAAAAGATATGAATGTCTGTTCTTGACTAGTTTAGGTACAGAGCTCTTAAAGGATAGATTTAGCAAGCCTTGAGTTGATGATAAATCCATATTAGAATCCCTGGAAAGAAATTTAAATAGTCCCTTTTATAATTTATGAAAAAGCACTGCAGAAGAATAGGAAAAGGATGGTCTTTTTAATAAATAGTGCTGAGTTGACTAAATAGCCTTACAGAATAAAATTCACTTGACCTCTTGCACCACAGAAAAAAAATCAATTTCCAATATAGATTATATGTCTAAATGCAAAAGGAAAAACAAAAGTTTTCAGAATATAGAATATTTTCATGACCTTAGTTTTGTTTGTTTGTATTTGTTTTTATTTTTGCAGTACTGGAGATGAAACCTAGGAATATTCTATCACTGTGCTACATCCCCAGCCCTTTTTACAGTATTTTCAGATAAGAGTCTGGCTAAATAGTCCAGGTGGGACTTTCAACTTGCAATCCTCCTGCCTTCTCCTCCCTCAGTGTTGGGATTACAGACATACACCACAGTATATAGCAGAATATTTTGGTGACCTCTGGATAGAGAACTGGATACATGATGTAAAGAACCAAAAAGGAAAAGAGTTCAAACAAAAAACAAAAACTGGACTACAAGCCAGGTATGGTGGTGCATGCCTTTAATCTCAGCATTTTGGGAGGCTTGAGGTATAAGGATTGTAAATCCAAGCTCAACTGGACAATTTAGTGATTAGCGATTTCCAGTCTCAAAATATAAAAAGGGTTGGGGATGTAGCTTACTACAAAGCAGTACTGTCAAAAAAAAAAAAAAACAATGTGAGAGAGAGAGAGACAGAGACATTTAAATTCATTAAATTCTATCCATCAAAAGACACCATAAAGGGACCAGGGATTTAGCTCAGTGGTTCCTCTGCCTGCCTCGAAAGCGCAAGGTCCCAAGTTCGATCCCCCGGCACCCACCCCCAAAAAAAATTCCATTCTCCTGGCTCAGCTTCCCAAAGTACTAGGATTCCACGTGTGAACCACCAGGCCTCGTCTCCTCGACTCCCGGGACCGCAAGGTCCCACGCCCGATCCCCCCGCCCCCCCCCCCCCCCCCGCGCGCCACAAAGACACCATTAAGACCCTGAAAAGTCAAATCACACTGGAAGAAAAAAAATACAACCAAACGGCCCACAAAAATGAATATCCAACTTCAACAGTAATTAGGAAAATTATATTTAAAACCACACAGCTAAAAATTAAAGACAAATATGTGCTGGCAAGCATGTGGAACAACTGAACACAACATGTAAAAATCAAAAACAGAAGTTAGCTATTGGGAATAGAACTCAATATACTGTTTACTACTGAGGAAGAAAGGAAAATATTAGGCAACGCTATCAGGGTGGCCTTGAACTCAGGGATCCTCCTGCCTCAGTCTCCCTATCTCAGTGGTACGAGTGAGACATACATACTGTCCCCGATTGACAGCATATTATTTCTTGACCTGAGTCATTTTGTAATGATTCACGGAGCTGTACATACTTGCAATCTGTGCACTTTATACTCTGGGCACTGCAGGGGACCACAATATTGACTGTGCCCAACCAGTTCAGGCTGGAAAGAGCCCCACAATTGACTTGTTTATAGAAGTGAGTCCGAGGTCAACGTAACTCACACCCAAATTCCGTTCCCACAATTAAAACTTTCTTAACTAGGACAATGTTCTAATCATAACCATATATTTTGTCTATTCTATTCCTAATCCGAGAATGCTTTCTTTTCCTTTACAAACTATGTCTCCATTAGTTTCCAAAGAAATTGATTACCAATAAAAATCAGTGGTTTGGATTGGCCAGCACCTTTGTGGGTTGCACAGGCATTGGTCGTCCTAGCTCCCCGCTTTCTGTCTTTCATTTAGTTCTTTTTAGTTTTCTTGGGCTTGCGTGATACACTCAGCAGGAGACTGGCGCAATGGAAGAACACCGACCGGGAACCCAGACCCCTGGCTCCAAGGTGAACAGCTGTGCCCGCCCTTCCTCCCCAGATCAGGGCTTCCTAGCTCAAATCCCGAAAACAAGCGTTGACCGTGAAGGCCCGAGGTTCTGAAGCTGGGCGGGCTTCGGCTTCCCTCACGGGCGCTCTGAGGGGCGGTTGGGTCGGACAGGCCCGGGGCCGCCATCTTCGGTTCCTTGGCCGACGCAGTGAGGCCAAAGCTGGCTGCGGGCGCCTGGGCCTGGTGGGTCCGGCGGGGGAAAGGGAGACTCAGGGCGGCGCAGGGCTCGGCCCGCTCCCACTCACCTAGATGGCCGCGCAACTGCTCCGCCTCGGTCCACTGGCCTGCGCGCTCGACAGCGTCAGCTTCTCAATTCTCTCGCTGGGCCTTCTGCTCTCCACCAGGTCGAACTTCAGCTCCGACACGCGCTTGTGGGTCAGGGACACAGCTGTGCTCCAGGCCGGGCCTCACGCCACGCCACGCCACGCCACGCCACGCCACGCCCGCCACGCACTCAGAACGGCGACTTTCAGAAATCCCGCCAAATGCCGCCCCGCAGGGGCACGCCCGCGTCGGCGTGACGTCACCACGTTGCTCCCCTGCGTGACGTGGCTTCCCTGCTCAAGCCCGCCTTCTAGCCCCTTCAGATTCAGCCCGAGGTGGATCCAAGGAATTTGAACCTACCTGAGGATTATGCTCCTCCCTCCTCCCCTAAAGACTAATTAGAATTTTGTCAGTTGCCCCCTTCTGTTTATCAGCCCGAAGACTAAAAATCGTAAGAGGGATTGCGTCCGGCCCGGGACTACATCTCCCAAGATGCAACGCGCCCAACCCTGGGACTCTCCCTGCGTAAGCGCCCTCCTGAGAGCTCTTCTGGGTTTGTTCCCGCTGAGTCCAAACCCTTGACTCAACTTGCAACTCTACCTTCAATGCAGCGGTGCTTCTGGCCTGAGGGGCTGGAGAAACTGTGAAACTGGGTATTTTATTTTAGACTAACTACCCTAATCATGGATATACAAATCTGGTATTTCTATACAGTGAAATATTTTACCAGAAAAAAGAATGAAAACAATCACTATAGTAGTGCGCCTGTGATCCCAGCACTCTGAAAGGCTGATGCAGGAGGATCACAAGTTTGGGACAGCCTGGAGCAATTTAGTGACACCCTGTTTCAAAATTTAAAAAAATTTAAAAGGTTTGGGGATGTAGTTCACACTTGATCTTAGCCAAAAGGCTGAGAACCGATTGGGGATGTAGTTCAATGCGAAGCCCGAGTTCAGTCCCCGTATGGCCAAAAAAAAAAAAAAAAGAGAGAGAGAGAATGGGGCTGAGAGTATAGCTCAGTGATAGACTGCTTGCCTGCTCTGTGTAATGCTCTGGTTACAATTCCCAGGACCACTGAAAACAAAAACCAAAAAGGGGTGAAGTACTGATACCTACTAAACACAAACTTTGAAAACATTATGCTCAGACGTCAAAACTGCTCACAAAAAAATCCTATTCCGTTACCCGACTTCTATTAAATACCCCAAATAGACAAATCTATAGACAGAAAGTAGGTTGGTTGTTTTAAGGGTAGGGTAGGAGATAAGGTAAAGATGAAAACATTACAAAGGGTATATGGTCTTTTTAAGCTGTTGTAAAATACATTATCTTAATGACTTTTTGCTTTGTTCTGGTGATACTATGTAGCCCAGGCTGGTCTCGAACTTGAGATCTTCCTGCCTCAGCCTCCCTAGGGCTGGTGTTGTATAGGTGTGCTACCACACCCTACTCATCTTAACTACTTTTATGTGTCTATAGCTCAGCAGGGTAAAGTACAAACCTATGACTGTGAAACCAATCTATAGCTTTATATTTTGTATTTAGGTCTTAGGTCCATTTTGAGTTAATTTTTTAATGTGGTATAAATGTTTAATTTTATTCTTTTTTTTTCCCCTTCAGTGATGGGGATTGAGCCCAGGATCTTGAACATGATAGGGAAGGACTCTGCCATTTAGCTACTGCCCCAGCCCACAATTTCATTCCTTTATATGCAGATATCCAGTTTTCCAAGTACCATTTGTTGAAAAGTAGTATTCTGGATGATGAAAGTCTAAAATCAATTGTGATGATAGTTGTATACATCTTAAATATACTAGAAACCATTCAATTGTGCATTTTAAGTGGTGTTTTATTATATATGAACTATACTTCAATAAAGCTCAACGAAGGGGAAAGAAGTCATTTTTGACTCAGTAGCTTTGTGATAAGGCTAGTGCTGCTTTAAGAATCACTGCATTAGGGGGCAGGGGATTTAGCTCAGTGGTTCTGCTGCCTGCCTTGTAAATTCAAGGACCCAAGTTCGATCCCCGGTACCAAAAAAAAAAAAAAAGGGGTTTTTTTTTTTTTTTTTTTGGTGGGACAGAGGATCGAACTCAGGACCTTGCACTTGTGAGGCAGATGTTATGCCACTAAGCTAAATCCCTGGCCCTAATTTTTTAAGTTTTGAGATGGGATCTTGCTAAGTGGCCCAGGCTGGGCTGGAACTTGCCATCCTCCTGCCATGGCCTCCTAGAGTGATGAGATTAAGGCAAGTGCCACCACTCAGCTCATGACATATTTGTTCATCTTATTTTTTATTTAAGTGCATGTTCCTAGACAGAGATTTATTTGGTTTATGTTTTAGATACATGGTAAATACTCTTTTTTTTTGGTACCTGGGATCAAACTCGGGTCCATGCGCTTGTGCAGCAAGTGGCGAAACCACTGAGCTAAATCCCTGGCCCCATGGTAAATACTCTTAATAATAAAAGGCTGCTATTTACAAAAGATTTCAAATAATAAACTTATTTTAATAGTGTAAAAAAAATCTGTTTTCCAATCAGGGAAAGAAAAACTTACAAAAAATTTAAATAACCAATATTTTAAGAAAAACACAAATACCTATATAAATATTACAATTATGTACTTCTAACCCAAGAAATCAGAGACCATCACTATAAGCCTAATCATTTTCAGAATGGGTTGTTCCAGTCACTAAAATGCATAAAAAAATTCCCTTAATTTTTAGGTATACAGAAAAAAATATGAAACAGCTCGAGTAAGAAAGCTAACTGGTAGTGCACACCTGCAAACCCCAGGACTCAGGAGGTAGAGGCAGGAGAATTGCTGCACGTTTGAGGCCAGCCTCAGCTATATAGTGATTGCCGAGGCCAGCCTGCCTGGAACTACGTAGCCAAACCCTGTTCAAAACAAACAAACAAACAAACAAACTACACCATATTAATGACTTTAAAAGTTTTTTAAAGGAGTCAAAAATAAGAAACACCTGTCTTGATTTTTGTCCCAAATGAGTTTCATGTTGACTTTTGAAGCTTAAAGACCATGTTATCTTTTCTATATAGCTTATAAGTAAGAACCAATAAAGAGGGAAGATAACATTCATGAGACTCATTGGAGTTTAATCTGATCCTAAAGTAAAAAGGAAAAATTTTAAAACACATTAATTTAAAAGTGCAAGCCAGGGCTGGGGATTTAGCTCAGTGGTTCTGGCACCTGCCTTGCAAACGAAAGGTCCCGAGTTCGATGCCCCGTACCAAAAAAAAAAAAAAAGTGCAAGCCAGAGTTGGGTGTAATGGCGGACACTTGTAATCCTAGCACTCAGGAGGCTGAGGATAACCAAGAGTTCAAGACCAGCCTGGGCTACAGTGAGATCCACACCCCCAAAATAAAATAAAACAAAATAAAAATTCAAGCCAAGCTTGGCAGAAGGATTGCTGTGAGTTGGAGGCCTGCCTGGGCTACACAATGAATTCAAGACCAGCCTGGATTACATAGCAAGATCCTGTCTCAAAAAAGCAAAAACAGGGCCCAGGATTTAGCTCAGTGGTTCCGCAGCCTGCCTTGAAAACTTAAGGTTCCGAGTTCAATCCCCAGTACCAAAAAAAGAAAAAAAAAAGAAGAAAGAAAAAACAAGAAAATGCAAATAAGTTTTAGTTTAGGATTAAACAGAAACAAATATCATAATTATGACTGGTCTGTATCAGAGTTTTTTCATATCTGTTTAATGATCAATGTATATGCTAGCTTTATGTATAATGGGGGTGTGGCTTTAGGGACCAATACCTGTAATAACTTTATTATTGTCATAAACTAGTGTTTTGGAAGAGATAGAGTTTAAAAAGTCATTATTTAATAAAAGAAGATTGAGAATCTTGCTGTAAAGTGGTCCTTCAGAGAGATGGAAATAGCCTAGGAGAAGGCATGTTTTCTACTTCACAAACACAAAAACATTAATATATTTACATATATGTACTGATGCATAATGAATTAACTTTTCCTTAAAAACTACTTATCAAGAAAACATTGACAGTATAGAATAAGAGGCAAGGCCCTCAAGAAAAGATGACAACCATTCTAATAGGTGCTGTTGTTTTCTCTGAATTTTTATTTATCTGAAATAGCATTTCTGAAATAGAGAAAAAGGAGCATGAGTAGTTTGTAAACAGACATGTTTCCTTTGGTTGTTATTGAGATAGGCTCTTGCTGTTGCCTAGGCTAGTCTTGAACTCATAGGCTTGTGTGATCTTCGCATCTCAGCCTCCCTAGTAACTGGGATGATAGGCATGCACCAACATGGCAGAACTTGACAGATATATTTCTACTCCAGAAATATCTGCTAGGCAGAACTCAGGACACTTAAAAATTGTAGCTTTATCTATGGAAAAACGGCTAATATGTTTATTGGTGAGAGCATCTCTTATATTTAAAAGTTACTCCTTAGGGGTTGTACTATACAGAGAACACAACTTTAGTGAGAGGAGATTTTCCCTAAGGCTCTTACTACTTAACCTTGAGTACAGAGCTGAGCAAGCTGGCACCAAGCTAATTGTTCATTAGTTCTGAATAGACATTTAAAAATTAACCATACAGGGGGCCAGGGATTTAGCTCACTGGTTTGGCCGCCTGCTGTGCAAGTGCAAGGACCTGAGTTTGATCCCTGGTACCAAAAAAAAAAAGGTCTACATTAAAGCTTGTGAAGTTGAGATCGGAAGAGCACACGTCTGAACTCCAGTCACCTACCAGGATCTCGTATGCCGTCTTCTGCAAAAAAAAAAAAAAAAAAAATTAACCATACAAATTAACTGTAACATCGTCAGAGAAATTTTACCAGGCTTTTTTGATCTAAAGAAAAAGGTTAAACAGCAGTGGAAACCCTGACATAACACCCCAAGTGTGTGTACTATTGTTTGGTTGTTACAGTTGTGGTCCATGGGTCTAGGGGTAGAAGTCGCAGTCCTGAAGTAGATCTTGGGAAATTTGCTTGACTATGTTCTTCAAATAGTTGTCCTCTAATGGCACTTTAGATATAATGGAAGCAATTTCATCTTGGCTGGAAAGAAGAAAAAGTTAATTAAGTTTTTTGGAAACATACTTGTCTCTGATTCATTGCTAATCATGATCTTGAGTACAGTGTCTCAAGTTTCCTAGAAAGCACAAATGGGCATTGCTGGAAATAAGCAGACTGTCCATTTGAAAGGGGATTTCAAAATATGGCTTGAGAACCAATTCTGTATGTAATTATCAGGCAGCTTGAGCCAGTTGCTTTCTTTAGCTATAAAATTCTAATTGTTGGTACTTGCTGGTGGATTTAAGGTGGGTTTTCCTAAACACTGTCATCACCTAATCTGTCAGAAGTATATCTAAAGTCATAAAACAGATCACAACCTATGAGACACTTATAGATCTAGTTCCACAAACTAATTGAAAAAAGGTATGAATATTCCATTTTTAATTAGGCCATAAAATTGTTTCCCTATGATCTGAGCTAAGCTTATGTAGAATTTTCTCCTTGATTCTTGCTCTAAGTGTAGGTGAATTCAAAAAGTGAAGTATGTATAAAAGAGCAGAACAGTGGTCTGTCTCTAGCATCCACTGGAGAGAGCAATAAAGATCTCAGCTAGACGTGGTGGCACTAGCCTGTAATCCCAGCACCTGGGAGGCTGAGGCAGGAGGATCGCCAAGAGTTCAAGGCCAGCCTGGACTACATAGTGAAACCCTGTCTCAAAAAAGAAACAAAAAAACCCCAAAACAAACAAAAAAACATTCTCAGGGATAGGGATGTCGCTCAGTGGTAGAGCACTTGCCAGGCATGCATAAGGCCCTGGGGTTTGATTTACAGCACTGCCAAAAACAAAACAAAAAAAGTGACATTTAGCTCTCACTCCCCATTTGCTTACTGACCACCTGGAGGGAACTTTCAAATGAAATAATAAATGCAAAAAAGTAGCTAGTCTTATCCTGCTGGTCCTTTACTTACCCAGTGTTCCCAAGGTGATTTTGAATGGTAAAAGGTAATGGGACCAATGGATAATGGGCTGAGAGAGACAAAGTTATTTCAAACTTTGCAAATGCTGCAGAGCTGGAGAATAAAAGCCTCAATCTGTAAAAGACAAGATCCGCAATTAAAAATATAAAACAACAAAAAAGACTGAAACACAAACATATTTTCCTTTTTACACTGGCATGTGAAACTTGGTATACATTATTTCTTGTCCTCATCAAATGGAACAGAAGATAAAACATCCAGAACAAGGTGTTAAATGGGTTTTTTCTTTCCATTTGTTACTCCTTTTTTTTTCCTCCGGTAGAGGGGCCTGAACTTTTGATTGTGAGGCAGGCATGGTGCCAATAAGCTAAATCCCTAGCCTTCCATTTGTTACTCTTTTTTCTTTTCCATTTGTTACTCTTGAAGCACATTAATAAAACAATTTCTTTTACTAAATTCTTGACTAATTACTTACTGTTAAGGGTGGAAATATATCTGCCCAAATTTGTATATTTAAATCCTATTCTCCAACACCTCAGAATGTGACCTTCTTTGGAAATTAGGTCATTGCAAATTTAGTTAAGATGAGTTTCTTTTGGAGTAGGGTGGGCCCTACTCCAATATGAGAGGTGTCCTTATCAAAAGGGGAAATTTGTACACAGACACCCACAATGAAAGAACACTGTATGAAGGTGAAAGGAGAGACCAGGATTATGCATTTATAAGCCAAGGAAGGCCAAAAATTGCCAGTGAAGCTCTAGAAGTTATGCTAAATGAGAACAAATTTTTCTCATAGTAAGGAACCAATCTTGTTGAAATCCTGTTGGCCTTCTAATCTCTCAGGTTAGGTGATAATCTAACTAAAGTAATAAGTTTCTCCTGTTTTACCCAATTTGTAATACTTTGTTATCACTGCTCCAGGGAACTAACACACTTACTCAGTATTATTCACATATATGTCCATTAGGTTATAATTTGGTCCCCATTTCTTTAAAAATTCAATCTCTTCTCCAAGGAGTCTGCAGTGACTCACTACCAGTGAAAATTCCTGAAGCATCTAGAAGAAATTGCGGGGGGGGTGGGGTTGATGAAATTACAAAAATGTATCAATGTTTAATGGCGCTGTAATAATGAACCCCCAAAACAACTGAATACATATGTCATCTCAGGATACTATTATATACGCAGAATTTCAGTTCTGCTTTTTGGGACTGACAGTGCAAATTTTCCTTTAAAGACTTCAATCAGACTTTACCTTGGGTACTTGATGCTGTGTTGTACATATCTTCTTCCAGGATTCTTGTTCCTCAATGTATTGAAAAATAAGTTTATGAACCAAAAGGGAGGAAGAAGGAGCTTTATCCTCTGGGAAAGAAAAAGAAAAGATCCAAAGGCAGGGTATTATCATATATATATATTTTTTATTATTCATATATTTTACAGAAGCTAAAAATACTACATTACCTAAGCAAGAAATACCCTCAAACTATTAGGTGCCAAAGTAGCCTCATTTTTATTTTCAAATACAATTATATATAGTATATAAGACATCCCTACAAAAACTCAATCTTTAATCATGTACAGAATCATTTTGTAAAATTTTTTTTTGGGGGGGGGGGTTGGTACCAGGGATCAAACTCAGGACCCTGCGCTTACAAGGCAGGCGTGGTGCCACTGAGCAAAGTCCTAGGCCCCTGTAAAATTTTTTTATTAATATGTGCTTACAGTACATAATGATTACATTGATCATGGGGAGTTGGTACATGTACACAACATATCCCAATTCTTTTTATTTCACCTTCCCACCTTTTTTTTTCTTATGAGACATGGTCTCCCTATGTAACCCAGACTGGCCTTGAACTTGTAGTGATCCTCCTGCCTCAGCTGCTTGAGTACTGGGATTACAGGTGTATGCCACCACATCTGGCCTCACATACAGAATAGAACTTGGTTTAAAACACAGGTTTATGATTGGGAATGTATCTCAGTGGAAATGTATCTCAGAATGCTCATCTAGCATGCACAAAGCCTTGCGTTTAATCCCCAGCATCAAAGAGAAAAAGTGTGGGTTTAAATACAACATACACCTGAATTCACTGCCTGGCTTTAAAAAAAATTTTTTTTGAGACAGGGTTTTGCTATGTAGTTCAGGGTGGCCTTGAACTCACTATGTAGCCCAGGCTGGCCTCAAACTCCAGGCAATTTCCCTACCTCAGGTTCCCCAGTGCCAGGATTATAGGTGTGTGCACCACACCTGGCTTTTTTTTAACTACTTAAGTGATCTTAAGTACAACATTTAATTTTTCTGATTCGTAGTTCCCTAGCTTATAAAATGGGAAATAATACCTTAGCATTAATGTAAATAATATATATGCTCACCAGATGTGGTACCACATGCCTGTAATCCCAGCACTTGGGAGGCTGAGGCAAGAGGAATGCCATGAGTTTGAGGCCAGCCTCGACTACATACTGAGTTCAAGATCTGCCTGGGGGCCGGGGATTTAGCTCAGTGGTTTCCCGCCTGCTGCGCAAGTGCAAGGACCGGGGTTCGATCCTCAGTACCAAAAAAAACCAAAAGCAAAAAAAAAAAGACCGGGGTTTGATCCCCGGTACCAAAAAACAAAAAGATCTGCCTGGACTACATAGAGAAACCCTGTCTCAAAAAACTAAAAAAACAAAACAAACAGAGAAAAAAACCCCAACATATGCCTGATATAGACTAGGTACTCATAATGGTAATTTTCCAAGTAGGGAATAATAAGTAATTATTATTCCTAATAATAAGTAATTCCTAATTAATTCCTAATAATAAGTAATTTCTTTTAAAATAAACCGGGTATGGTGGTACATGCCTGTACTCCCAGCACTCAGGTTGAGGCAGGAGGATCACTTTGAGTTCAAGGCCAGGTTGGGCTAGTGAGCTCAAGGTCAACTTGAACTACATAATGAGACCTTGTCTCAGAAGAAAGGAAGGAGGAAAGAAGGGAGGGAGGAAATTCAATATTTAGAACATTAACCAAGCAGTTTTATATCCCATAAATATTTTAAGGACAAATTATTGTTGTTGTCTATATTTAACTTAGTATGTAAATGAGTTACCAAGAAACAATTTATACCTATAAATTACCAATACTTTTAAGGGCTTAAAATATTTTAACTTACCATCTAGCAAAGACTGAAAATTCAGGTCAGCAATCTTCCTATAAGGCTTTTCCAGGAAAGGGACACCAACTAAGAACCAGAAAAAGAATAGTACTTCTTTTTACATAAAATTCAGTACTTTAGAGTCTTATTCTTCTGATGTTAGAATTTTTTCATGACAGTTGAAAGTTTATCCTTGGATCATACTTTTTTCTGTATATGGTAAAGACTCCCCCAAGACTGCTCAAATATATATATATATATATTTTTTTGAGACAGGGTTTCACTATGTAGTTCAGGCTGGCTTTGAACTCAATATGTAGCCCACAATGGCCTCAAACTCACAGAAATTTCCTACCTTAGCCTTCTCTTATGATTTGGGTCTAGATGTCCCCCCAAAGCCTCATGCAGTCATAGGTGCCTGGATCTAGTGTGTGACTGATTCATGGAACAAAGCTGGGATTAAGGGTATGTGATTAATAAATCAGTCCAATGATTGGTTTGGAACTGCCCTAATCTCACTAGCCTAGTATAAAAGGGGGAGAAAAAAGCTGCTAAGGCCCCTTGTTGCTTTTGCTACCTTGTGGGCACCATGAACTGTTTCTCCTCTTCCCTTCTGCTATGTGGCACTCTGCCTTGGAGCAGCCAATTATGGACTGAGACCTCTACAAACTGTGGGCTAAATAAACCTTTCCTCCTTTATCTGGGTGTCAGGTATTTTGTCTCAGCAACGAGAGAAAAGTAACTTAGATGCCTCCTGAGTGCTGGCATTACAGGTGTTCGCCACCACACCCAGCTTGCTCAACTATATTGATTGGTAGGCCCTTGAAGGAAATTTAAAAATGTAGAACACAGCTACATTTGTTAAGGGTTCTTTCTTTGACCCTTAACTTTTATGTAAAGGTAATTTTTTCAGGAATGGCTATCTTTCCCTAAACCTCCTATCCCTGAATAAATACAGTAAAAGTAATTAATGTTTTAGCATTGTCCTAATGAATTATAGGTAGCCAGGATAGCTGCTCAGTCCTCCAGACTCTAGAGTTGTCTTCTGTCTCTCAAATTCTGATTCTTTTCACTTTGTTGAATGGTTTTTCTTTTTTTTAATTTTATTTTTAAGGGTGACATTTATTCCCTTTTCACAGTAAAACTAGGTGGAAGAGAATGATTTTAACAATTAGTACAAAAAAAGTACAAATCTGGGGCTCAGCCATTAAAAGTTATTTACAACAACGGGAGAAAAAAAGACAACAAAATGTTCACATTACTGATCTCTTCTCCCATCCCACAGCTTAATACTTGCTTTACCAAGTAAAAAAAGACACACAGCTGATTCACAAGCTGGAGTCTGAATTTGAGTAAGGCATTTATAAAAACCTAGATGAGACAGTGTCCTCTCCAACTCAGCTGCCACTAGGCATAGCACAAGAGACTGAAAACGCTACAGAGGGAAGACTGGTCACGCAGGTGTGGGAGTATAAGCACCCACTACTGGCTCTTGGATCTAGGGAGTAGGAAAAACAAGACCTACTTGAAAATGAATGGGGAGAGAAAACTACCAATTGAATTTTGTGCTGGTAGGGACAACAAAGAAGGCAGGGACAAGGACAGGAGCATTTCATATTCCTAACCTAACTTGAGAAATGTAAGGGACCACTTCATCTGGCCTTAAGAGGAAGATCAGCAGGCTGATAGAATCCCCAGGAGGGAGAAGAGGAAAATGTGGCTTGGAAGGGGGAACAAGTCCCTTCCTTTTTGGGTACCGGGAAAGCAGTAAGAGCAGCACATCCGGGTAGTAATTTCAGAAGGACACCTGCTCCCACTCAGATATTCATTCTGCTTGGCACTGGTGGATGCAGGTCCACTGTGCAGCCCCCAGGGAGTGGATGGCTCTGCAGTCTGACGTCCTAACTCTTTTGTGTCTCCTCTCTTGGAGGCAGCACTAGCCTCTGCCCTCTTCGCCTGTGCCTCCTGGCTCTCAGGGATGACAGCAGCCTTCTCTTCCTGGGCAGTGCCCTCGTCACTACAAGTACCAATCTCATCCTGCTCCTATTCTGTGGATGAGGAGGCAGAAGAATCATCCTCACCTTCCTCCCAATTTCTCTTGCAAGACAGGCCTCTCAATTTGAAAACCTTCTTCAAACAGAATTTCTTCATCCTTTTGAAGATTTCTTATTGGGGATTCCCTCTCAGCCTCAGTGCTCTGGCTAGGGAGTGCTGGCTTGATGGCAATGCTAGTGGCCCCAGCTGCTTCAGCTGTTTCTTTGGCGTGGGGGGTGAACTCCTCATCACTCTTGGGGAATAAGTCTCCATTGCTTTTCACGTGCCCATTCTCCTGTCCAGAGGCCTTCTCAGAAGGTGCCTGCTCCCTCCTCAGAGGTCAAGCAGCCCAGGGGAAGGGTGGGGCTGCGGAACAAGCTATGCCCTGGCTCCACAACTAACTCATTAGCTGCATCAGCTACCCCTGCTCTCTTTGCTAAATATTTTCTACATTAGTTACCATGGATACCATAATGAGAAAAACAGAAAGTGATCAACTCATACCTCAAGGAGCTTTACAACTCAGGAGGACACACTAATAACTAAATCAATAAACACAGGATTCCAAGGACTGGGGATATAGCTCAGTAGACAGGCATGCATGAATCTCCAGCATCACAAAAAACATGAAAGTCTTGAGACTAGATGGAATGACTGAGCATGAAAGACTCCGGTCATGATGGAAATGAAAAAAGTACATCGTGGATAATGTACGGAGAAGGTGAGATAGGATGACACAGGGAAAAAAAAAGGAAAAACTCAGTTCACTCAAGGGTTTACAAGCTACATAAGACATTTTGATCATTACCCTAAGATAAGAGTAGCACACACCTGATCAAATCTTCAACAAACACTACAGCTACAGGGAGGAGAGGAAAAAAGATCCAGAAGGATCAGTTGGAATATAATTGCAGTCATTTGAGTTAGAGAAAAGTGGATAAATATTGAAAAATTAAAATCAGCCAGGGCTACACAGAAAGTTCAGTGACAGCCTCTACTTCATGAGATTCTGCCTCAAAAAACCAAACCCTGGGGTCAGGGATTTAGCTCAGTGGTTCTGCCACCTGCCATTCACGCGCAAGGTCCTGAGTTTGATCCCTGGCACCAAAAAAAAAAACCAAAAAAAACACCAAACCCAAACAAAAATAACAAGCACTGATACTTATTAATGATTTGGACATGTATAATGAAGGAGGAGATGCAGGGTATTCCTTAATTTTGGACCTGGACAGAGGTGATTTTCATTGAGAAAAGGAACTTTTCAGAAGAATAAGGCTGAGAGGCTGGGAGACTGAAGATCCTAAGGTTCCAATATAGCCATGCTCAAACTGACAAGTTAGAGAAAAGACTCTAAAAAGCTGCTAGGACTCTTGTCCAGTCACTCAATAGTCAATCTACCTACCTTAATAAACCCACCTGTATACTCCTGAGTACAGGAGTTCCAACTAACTTTAAAGGCCTCCTTTTATTTTTTTGCAGTGCTGGGGAATGAACTCCAGGAACCTGTGCATATTAGACAAGCCACTACTGTACCACTGAGCTACATCATCAGCCCAGAGCTGTAGTATAAAATACTCAGTCAAGAATCACTGTCATTAAAGAAAATTCTCTATCCCAGACAAAGACGGAAAAAAAGAACTCAGCATTATTATGGTAGCAAAACTTTATCATCCAATATAATTAACAAAGGGCAACTTTCACTACTTGCATTTTTATTTTTATTCTCTCCCTCACTCCCAGGACTAGGAATTGACCCCAAGGCTTTTGCACTGAGCTATTTATCCCTGGCCCTTTAATTTTAATTTTTAATTTTTGAAACAGGGCCTCACAAAGTTGCTAAGATTTCAATCTTCATAGAGTATAACCATTTATTTTTCTGCAGAGGAGGATTATCTTACATTTGCTACTTACCTACTGGCTCTCCAAAGGTGATGGTGAGTTCTATGGTATCATAAATAAAGGTAAATACAGCTTGATCATCACTCCACTCAATGACTTCCCACTCAGACAAACTAAAGAGAGAAACAGAAAGAAAAGCATTCTTTTGCAAGTGCTCTAAATTGAGCTATATCCCATCCCAACTAAGAGAACTTCTGATACCACACAACAGTACTAAGAGCAGCTGCCAATGGATTTGGAGACAATCAATATTCCAATTCAAATACTGTCAATGTACAATCTATGGTTTTGAAAGACATAAGAACTCAATCTTTTGTTTTGTTTCAGTTTTTTTTGAGACAGCGTCTCACTATGTAGTTCAGCCTGACGTTGAACTCACTTTGTAGCCAAGGCTGGCCTTGAACTTGTGATAATCCTCTTGCCTCAGCCTCCCGAGTATTGAGATTACAGGCATGCTCCATCATCCCCAGCAAGAATTCAATCTTGAGTTGTGTATCAGAGAACAAAAGTTTATGCAGTGAAAAGTTATTAAATTTATAACATTATTCCTGGTGAATGTGATTATTATGTATATCAAAAGTGTGTCAATGAAATTTAAACAAACAGTATTCCATAGCTCTCCCACCTTTATAATTTCACCTTGGTGTCATGTACATAAAGTCTTTTAGAGGCTGTATACTGTGCTACAGGTTAAAAATCTGTATCAACTGCAGGGCATGGAGTTGTGCATCTGTAGTCCAGTTACTTGGGAGGCTGAGGCAGAATTGCTTGAGCCCAGGAGTTTGAGGCCATATTAGGCAACATAGCAAGATCCCATCTCAAAAACAAATCACAGCAAAACAAACAAAAAACCCCAGGAAATCTATAGGAACATGTTAAAAACATATCAGCTGCTCCAGTAGGCTCAGATAATCATTAAAGCACAGGATACAATATAAACTAATGAAATCTGATTTCCTTACCTCAAATGATCCAGTAGTTCTTCAGTTCTATTTGTTTGTTTTTGCATAAAATCTATCTGAGCAAGGGTTTGCTCTTTCTGTACCTGCAGTTCTAAGAGCTTTCTGCAAATAAAACCAGGTATTCATAGAAAGATAAGGTCTTTGCGAAAGAATTAAAAATATTAATAAAAAGGTTCATTATAAGAAGTTATTTGCTAGATGGTCCCAGTGAGGTAATAATATTTTGTTTTGATAATCATTAATTTAGAATTAGGCTAATTTAGGAAAGATGTAAATCATTATCTCTCAAATTAGGACTCAATGGGGTTTCATGTTCTTTAAAATAATTATTGGACATTACTTTTTAATTTTTGATGAAGCATGAAGTACTTAAGGATGCCCACCTTAAAAGAGATATGTCTTAGGTTTGTGACCTACATTTGATTTTGTTCAGTTTGTTAGACCTAAATAGGATTTATGTTTTATTAATTATTTTGTTGCTATTTAATTTCAAATACTACCACTCGTCAAATTAATGTTGTTATAACTAATATATACTAATTTAAAAAAATTAATGTTGTTGACTGGAATTTTATTGGTTTTGTCATGATTTATACTTAATTTCTTTTAGTCCTATAGTTGAACTAATTCATGACCTAAGATGCCTCATTTTATACTTCTACTTATCGAAGTACAACAAAAAATAGTTTAATGCCTGGTTTAATTTTTAAAAAAGGATCCTGACAGTATTCAAGCTTGAGCAATATCACCTTGGGGTAGAAGCCCTGAGTCAGGGTTACTCAAGACTTATGTGCCTAAACTTGTCTCTAAAGGGAGGAAGCCCTTAACTTTGTGGAGTTCAGCATTACGTTTTCTAACACTCGGACTGCAAGCTGACCTTTGAAGCTCTTCCTCTTCAGCTTTTAGTTCTTCTAGATCTAGGAAAAGAAAACAAAACATAAAAAAACACATTAGAATGTTGTCACAAAAACCATCTGTCAAAAAAAAAAAAACCCAAAAACAAAACCAAAAAATAATAATAATAATAATAATAAAAAAAATCTGTCTTGGGCAGGGGATGTAGCTCAGTGGCACAGTGCCTGCCTGCCAGGCAAGCACGAGGCCCTGAGTTTGATTCCTGGTACCCCCCCACCCCAAATCTGTCTTACTGAAAATTCCAACTTAATTTCACCTAAATATATAAACAAAGTCAAAGCAGATGGCTGCAGTTACCTCTCTCTGCAGCTCTCATTTCAGAATGCCATTCTTCCATACAATTGTCTTTCTCTTCATCCTCCAAATTCTTAATTTCTAAAATAGACAGCATGAATTAGAATAATTCAGTTAAAAATAATTTACTGGGCCAGGGATTTAGCTCAGTGGTTTCACCACCTGCTGTGCAGGCACAAGGGCCCAAGTTCGATCCCTGGTACCAAAAAAAAATAATAATAATTTACTAAGAAGCCAGACATAGTGGCACACACCTGTACCACCAGCACTTGGGAGGCTGAGGCAGGAGGATCACCACAAGTTCAAGGCCAGCTTGGGCTATATAGTAAATTCAAGGCCAATCTGAACTACATAGCAACTACCCTGCTATGTAGTTACTCAAAAAAAAAAAAAAAATTAAATATCACAGATAAAATTAATAAATGTGCCCCAAATGAAGTGTTGGGAATATTTCACACTCACTCACCATTCCTTGCCAATAAGGCACTAAACTATGATTATACAAACATTTCTGGTGGCAGATTAGTGAACTTTAAACTACATAGCAGTGATCTCAACTAGCATCTTCTTAGGGGCCACTTTGAGACAGAATCTATTTATATATAATACATTTATACAATATATAATATATAATTATATATCAATTGATACAATTTAGACAACATATATTATATATTATTATATTTATATATAATTTATATATCATATACATATAAAATTTATAGATATGAAATAGTTATTGTTAGACAACCCTCATGGTCTAAGTAGGAACAGATACACATTTAAAAATATATGAACACGGGTCAGGGATATAGCTCAGTGGTTCTGCCACCTGCCTCCCAAGCGCAAGGTCCCGAGTTCGATCCCCGGTACCAAAAAAAATTAAGATTTTTAAATTATGTTCATATATATATATTTTTTTTCCCCTTTGGTACCAGGGATTGAACTCAGGTCCTTGCGTTTGAGCAGCAGGTGGTGAAACCACTGACCTAAATCCCTGGCCCCTTCATTTGTTTTTGAAACCTGGAAGTCATTAAAAGTCTCCTCTCTATTCATATCCAAACCAAGTTTATACAAGTTTATATTTTTTTCTCAAAAATCTTTTTTCTTCACCATTACTAGCACCTTTTTTTTTTTTTTGGTACTGGGGATCAAACTCAGATAACCTCTTAATATAAGCTTCTTTTTTTTTTTATAACTAGGCCAGTCCAGTAACTACTTATATTGGTTGAATTTACTCTTATTTTTTGGTAATGGAGATCAAACTCAGGACCTTGCACTTGCCAGGCAGGCGGCAGAACCACTGAGCTATATCTCTGGCCCTGGTTGAATTTACTCTTTATCTACTAAAATCCAATCTCTATACCATAGCCAGTGCTTAACATCCTTTAAAGGCTGTTATTGTTCTTAGAAAAATTCAAAACTCTTTAAGAGGCCCTCCTAGGCCTGGCTGCTAGTGATACATCCAGCTTTATTATGTGATCATCTTCCCTTTTGTTCTATTTGAGCTATATTCGCCTCAATTTCAAAGCCTTGTAGTTTTTGTATTGTCTTCCATGTAAGGGTTTCTGCATGTGTTATTTGGAATAGTTTGTTTTCTCCTTCCTTTTTATTTTGTTAAATTCTATTTATCCTTCAGATCTTGGCTTAAATGATACTTCTTTAGAGGGAAGGCTACCCTGACCTCGATCAGATTTTTGTTACAGGACTCCACATGACCTTGTAATTTCTTCCATAAAATTTACCATGAAATTGTTTAATGTTTATATTTTTTTTGAGGACTGGAAACTCCATAAGGGCACAAATAATGTTTGTTCTGTTTTACCAGTGTGTCCTTTGCTCTGAGTACTGTATACAACACACAGTAGGTACTTGGTAAGTCTGTTCAGTGAATAGTGAAGGAATAAGAAAAAAACAGGGAGCGTTCAGTGCTACCTAAAGAGGGAAGTATGGTGTTTTTTGTAGTTGTTGTTTTGTTTTTGTCTGTCTATCTGTCTGTCTGTCTGTATTTATTTAGTGAGTGAGTGAGTGAATTTTCTGAGGCAAGGTTTCACTATGCAGCTTATGCTAAACTCAAATTCTCTATGTACCCCAGGCTGGCCTTGAACTCATGATAATCCTACCTCAGCCTTCCAAGTGCTATGATTATAGGTATGCACCACCACATCCAGCCCTGTTTTGTTTTTAAGGCAGGGCTTCACTGTGTAGTCCAGCATGGCTTTGAACTCACTATACAGCCCAGGCTGGCCTCAGACTCAGCCTCTTGGGTGCTGGGATTATAAGTATGTGATATCACAGCCTGGTATTTTGAATGATGGGAGAGGTAAATATATAAAAATGAAAAGGGAGGGACAGAGATGTGGCTCAGAGGCACTGCACCTCCCTGGCAAGCGGAAGGTCCTGAGTTTGAGCCCTGGTACTGAAAAAATAAACAAATAAATTTAAAAAATGAAAATGGAGAGGGGTTAAATGTACGAGAAAAGGGGAAATCAGTATTCTAAGATTCCAGAAAAGAAAAGAGAAGAAGAAAAGAATTAAAGTTTAGACAGAAAGGGCCGGGATGTAGCTCAGCAGCATACCGCCTGCCTGGCAAGTGTGAGGTCCTGAGTTTGATCCCTGGTACCAAAAAAAAGACCCCAAACAAAGTTTAGATGGAAAGACTGGCCTTAGGAAAAGAAAAGAAAGATTAAAAAAATGACTATAAATAGATAAAAATTTGGTTTCATTGGTTGTAGGAAGTTTAGAAGTTCCAGTCTCAGGGGTTCTATTTTTTTTAAATGTAAAGTAGAAAATAAGGTAATAAAGAGATGGGATAATCTAAGACTATGGAATTTATGTACTCACTGTCAATTCAATGTAGAATATACATAAGAACTTATTCTATACAAAGCATATTAGTAAGGACTTTGAAGGATATGGAGAAAATAAGAGCTAATTTTTGCCTCTGTGGAGCTTATACTGCAATTTAATTAGGAAGACAAAGTGGACAAAATAACTATAATACAAGTCATTGTGGCAGAACTATATGAAGTACTAACAAAATAATCATAGAAAGTCAAGTGATAAAGACTACTTTCCTTGTTGAAAACAGCAGAAAACATTAGCAAAAACAGATGATCAGGAGCGCTGGTGATGTAACTCAACAACACACTGCCTACCTAGCATGTGCAAGCTTCAGGTTTCCATCCTCCTGGAATATCCACAAAACAACAATAAATACAAAATGCCAGAACTACAAATGGCAATATTTGGGTGAAATTTAGGACGTGTAAGGGAGTAGCAGCAAAAAATATAAGAAAGATGTGAATATGACTGGAAAGAATAACTGTCAAAATTAGGGTTTTGGACTTTATTTTGTAATAAGTAGATGTAGAGGATTTTGAGGAGACTAATATAATGAAAACTATCCCTAAGTATTAATCTGGCAGCAACGTGCAGGTTGAGAAAAGGAAAAAAAATACAAGAGATGCTGAAGAAACAGACATGACAGGACTTAAGAGAGAATCAAAGAAAATGACAGTATTTATTTGGTCTTTTACAATACAAAAGAATTGGGATGTCATAAATAAAGATAAATTCTATTCTATTCATTAGAGTTTAAGGTGCTTAGAATATTTTTGTATAGAAGTTCAGCAAGAAACTAGAAATATAAGTCTGGAACTTAGGAGAAAAAAGTAAAAGATGTGCTCAACCAAAATGTTTACAAGCTAAGGGGCACAATCTGTGTCTTATACATCCTTATTTGTTTTTCCTGATGATATGCCCAGTATCTACTAAGCAGTAGGTACTCAACAAATGCTTCATTAATTTAACTAAATTTGGGTATTAGTTACATAAACATAATTATTAAGACATATGAAAGCATTAGAAGAGATAATATAAAAATAACAAATGATAAAATTTAAATCCAGCACAAGGGATTAGTTAGAGAAAGAGAGGCCAATAGAGGGGATAAAGAATGGCCAAGAGAAAAGAGCAGGATTAGGGTAGTATAATCTCATAGAGGTTAGGGGATAAAAGTTTCAGGAAAAAATGAACACTCAGCAATGTCAAATGCATTGTAAAACAGGTCAAGATGGGTAAGAACTGAGAGAAACCAAATTTGATAGTTATGTGGAATTTTGTCATCTAAGAAAGCAGTTTCAGGAAAGCAAAACTAACAAGGATTTATGAGAGGGCAAACTGAAAGGATAGACAATTTCAAATGGAGATAAATTCATCTTTTAAAAAACACAAGATTACTGTCTAGGTCATGAAGAATTTTCAAAAGGCTCTCATAATACTGGATGCCTCTTGTTGATTGTTATGGATGAACATAGTAAAAGACTTTTAATTTGCTTTAATTTATGGTCTCAAATTGTTAATATGAGCCTTCAGAATAGTAATAGCAACAACTCTACTGTAGGGAAACATTTAGATAAAATTAAGTATTATTTTAAGAAGGTATTTATCATTTTTTTTGTGGTGCTGGACATCAAACACAGCATCCCCAGATGCTAGGAAAATATTTAATACTTTACCTATTTCCACCTCAGTGAGACAGTTATCAGTCTTCTTAAGTATATTGTTCATCTCATCTATCCTTATATGAAGTCTCTCCCTTTCATTCTAAACACAAAATATTATAGACCGTCAGAGCAAGCTACCAAAAAAAATTAAATGGTTAAAATTGCTGACATAACTGCATGTCTTAATCATGAAACTAGACTAGGCAAATCTCACAATGAAGGTCAAAACTTGAAATATGTTCTTTTTTTTGGGTACCTGGGATCGAACTCGGGTCCTTGCGCTTGCGAGGCAGGCGGTGGAACCACTGAGCTAAATCCCTGGCCCAAAATCTGTTCTTAAAAATAAGTAAATCTTTAAATCTTTAAAATGTTTGAGTACTTTTCAGTTTTGTTTTGGTTGAGTTCTACTATATTTGAATATTATAGGGTTTTTTTCCCTTCCATTGTTTTTCTTTGAATAATTTTAATTTTTGTAATGTGCTATTGATAATAAAGTTATACATTTAAAAAAAGTAAATCTAATTTAAAAAGCAGATAAATCACAAACTAATTCTGTAGTATTCTTTAGCATTTCTATACGTATTCCATGGAAAACAGAATATTAATGTTACTTAAAATTTGTATTTCTCTAAAAGAAGATACTGCATGCAATATCTTTCACACTTATTTTTCAATAGAAAGGGAAAATTCGGGCTGGGGATTTAGCTCAGTGGTTTCACCACCTGCTGTGAAACCACAAGGACCCAAGTTTGATCCCTGGTACCAAAAAAAAAAAGAATACAAAGAAATGGAAAATTATTTTAAATAGACCCCGCTTAAAAGGATGATCATTTTGAGAAATTCTACTTAAATAAATTCACATATATACATGGGCAGGCAGGTAATCCTATAGTCTTTTTTATTCTTTCAGTACTGGGCATTGAGCCCAGGGCCTTTGCACTGAGCTACATCTCCACACTGCCAGCCTTCCACTTCCTTTTTTTGAGACAGTATCTCAGTCTCAGTTGCTCGGCAGGGGTTGAACTTGTTATCTTCCTGCCTCAGCCTTCCAAAGTGCTGGGATCACAGAGGTTCACCACCATGCCCAACTAAATCTATAGTCTTTAGCAACAGAACAGGAAATCCTGTGTCTCATTTCAATTTATATATATAATGGATGATAATGTTTAAAATGAGATAAAAACACATAATAGCACTATATTCTAGCTTACTCAAGATGCAAAGATTTTTTTTTTTGGTACCAGGGATCAAACTTGGGACCTGGCACTAGAGAGGCAGGCAGTGGAACCGCTGAGCTAAATCCCCGGCTCCATGATACAAAGATTTTGACTACATAAACTTTTTAAGAACAACTGTTAAATTTTTACCTAAGTTTCACTCACATGTCTCCTAATATTCTTCATATTTCACAACCACAGTAAAATAATTTTAATAGCACTTTCTGTGTTGCTAATTGTCTCAAATTACCTGAGCTGACTGCACCAGCTTGCTGTACAGAGCCACTTTTCCTTGGTGAGTGAAGACTTTAGTCATCTTGGTAAAACGTGACTTTATTTTGTTAAGGTGAATTCCAAAGGCCTTTAGCTGTAAGGAGAATTAAAGAGTACACTGCACTAAAACAAACCAATCAGAAGCGTAAATGGTGTGAGAAGGACAGTTCAGCTGCCACACGGCCAGGCTTTGTCCATTAGACTCTGATGCCTAAAGCAGGACATTTCTCATTAGCAAATTTAATTCTATATAATAGTTTTAAGGACAAAACCAAAGCTTTCAGGGCTTCTCCCCAATCCATAGTACTGAGGATTAAACCTAGGGGCACATTACATTACTAGAGAGCTATGTCCACAGCCCTTTTTATTTCTTGAGACAAAGTCTGGCTAAGTTACTAAACTCCCCAGCTTGGACTCCAACTTGTGATTCTCCTGCCTCGGCCAAGAGTGCTGGGATTATAGGCATGTGCCACCAAACTCAGTTGAAAATAAATACTTTTAATATATTAGGGAACATATAAATTAGGTTGCTCATTATTAAATTAATTAAAGTAAATTCTTCTCATTTAAATCTAAGTGAAGGAGCTGGGCGTGGTGGTGCATGCCTTTAATCCCAGCGCTAGGGAGGCCGAGGGAGGAGGATCACCATTAGTTTGAGGCCTGCCTGGGCTACATAGTGAATTCAAGGCTAGCCTGTGCTACAAAGTGAGACCCTGTCACCAAAAAAAAAAAAAAAATGAACAAAAAAACCCCACCAAAAAACTCCTAAGTGAAAGGCAAACAAGGTGGAAACCTCAAATATATTTCATATATTTATCATCACAGGTTTGAAAAGATTATATAGTAACAATTGTGATTAATTAAGAATGTGGTAGTGTACTACATCTAAGAAATAAGTTAAAGAACTAATCACTGCTTATCAAGTAAGTTACTTATTTCAAAATAAATACTGTTTAAAATATCTGTATTGATTCCCACTCAGAAAATGAAACAAAAGTACCTCTTCATCAGAGCAGTGTCTCATATTTTCCCACAGGTTTCTGTTTACATCAGTCAACAGTTTATCTTGGTTCAATGCAGACACTTTTAATCTAAAATACAGAAAAGTTCATTAGCACAGGGTTCAAAAGTCAGCTAGAATGAAATAGTTTAGATCTATAGCCATATTTAATTTATTTCCTCCTACTTAGTTTTCTTCTTTTTGTGGTACTGGGAATGGAACCCAGAACCTTGTGCATGCTAGATAAGTACCTCCCAGGGTTTTTCTAAATTAAAAAAAGGGGTATTCACTCAAGAAAAGTGGCCAGTATGATTATTCAACACTTGAAAAATAGTTTAATAATGTGATAAATTAGAAGGCCAGGGATGTAGCTCAGTGGCACCGTGCCTGCCTTGCAAGCACAAGGTCCTGAGTTCAATCCCCGGTACCAAAAAAACCCAAAAAACTACCTAAGTTAAACAAACTTCTCTCAAATATAATTCTCATCTCAATATATGTTCTAATGTGAAAACTTGCTGCTTGTATCTTTAAGGCCTGTCAATGTAGAATTGGTATTAATCTGTAATATTTTAAGTAAACATTCCCAACTTATTTCAGTCATACCTTACTTTAGTTTTTTATTGTGTTTTTTGTGACACTGGGGATTAAACCCAGAGTTTTTGCACTGAGTTACATCCCCAGCCCATTTTATTATTTTTATTTTGAGAAAGGATCTCACTATATCACTAAGTTGCACAAACTGGTCTTGAACTTATAATCCTCCTGCCTCATCCACCCATAATACTGAGATTACAGACTTGCTCAACCGTATGTGGCTCATATTATATCTTACTTTTATAGAATAATATTTACTGAAATAGCAAAGCTATAACAATCTCAATATATATTAGTCTTGTTAACAAGTGGAGGAAATAAATTTCTATCAAAGTTATAGGGTATCATTTGAGTAAGAATCCAAACAGCAGAGCACATATGAACATACTGCTCGCTGAGTGCAAAATTCCATTTTTTTTTTTTTTCCACTGGGGGCTGAATTCAGGGCCTTCACACAGAGCTGACAGGGTATCACTAAATCACTAGGTTGCCCAGGCTGGGCTCAAAATTGCCTCAGCCTCCAACACTGCTAGGGTTATAGGTGTATGCCCAGCTTCCATTTCAGTCTTTAAACACAATAAAATTCATCACTTATTTAGTAATGAACTCTAGTACTACTTAGTACAATCCCTGGCACATAAGAAATGCTCAGTAAATATCTGTTGAATAAACAAAGCAGAATTGGGCAAATTTGAAGTAGTATAATTTAACAGTATCATAAATTTCTTTTACCACTACTTTTTGTTTGTTTGTACGTTTACTCAATATGTAGCTCAGGCTGGCTTAAAACTCATGATCCTTCCCTCTCAGCCTCCAAAGTGCTGGAATTACAGGTGTGTGCCACCACATGTGGGTTTAAAACTACATAATTCTGGGCCGGGGATTTAGCTCAGTGGTTCTGCCGCCTGCCTCACAAGTGTAAGGACTGGAGTTCGATCCCTGGTACCAAAAAATAAAACAAAACCAAAAACCTACATAAGCATTACTTTGAATTGTACATTCTAATCTACCTGAGGAAATCTAGGTATACCTAATTTGTAAACCAGCAAAGCACTGAGCTATCTTATGAATACGACTGTGTTCTTTTTAGATAAATAAATTAAGGCTAAATGTGATAAAATTAAAAGTTCTACAGCAATCTTGACTTTAGGTACCACATACAAATTTCCAAAGGACACTAGTATCATTTTTTGAAGATATTCTTTTACAAGCAATTTATGATATCATATTCTAAATGTTTGTTTTTATTGAGGAGTTACTTTTTGTAGGAATGGTAAAATATCTTATATACAATATTTTCACTGTTTCTTTCCACCTATCAAGTAGGTATTATTATTATTATTATTATTATTTGTACTAGGGATCAAACTCAGGACCTTGCGCTTGCAAGGCAGGCGCAGCACCACTGAGCTAAATTCCCGGCTCCCAAGTAGGTATTATTATCCTCACTTTGTGGATATTGAAGTAAAGGTTGAATGACTTACCCAATGTTACACAGCTAGTGTTGTTTATCTAATACAAAGCCAAAGCTTTTCCACCCAAACTCTTTTCAATGCCAAGTTATGCCATCAACTTTTTCCCTGGAAAGTGCTATTCTTTTTTTTTTTGGTACCAGTGATCAACAAGGGACCTTGCGCTTGTGAGGAAGGCGGCAGAACCACTTAGCTAAATCCCCGGCCCTGGACAGTGCTATTCTAATTGAAACTTTACCACACAGACTATTTTCTTATAAAAAACAACAAAACAAACAAGAAAATGCAGAAAAATTAAATTTTTCTTACTCTTCAATCTTTTGGTGAAGAACCTCACAATCTTCTCTATAAATCTGTATCTTGGGTCCATAAATATATTGTCTCAATATTAGGTCTTCTGGAGTAGGTGATGTGTTTATAGTAAACTGAAATCAATCAATCAATCAATCAGTATCTAAGAACTGGCATCTTGAGGACAAAACCATGAAGAATGAATTCAAGTTTCTGAGTGCTTAACTTTTTTCAGTATTGGGGATTGAACCTAGGATTTTGCACTGAACTATATCTCCATCTCCAGTCCTTTTTTATTTTTCACTTTGAGACAGAGTCTTCTAAGTCATTAAATTCCACAGGCTGGGCTGGAGCTTGGAATCTTCTTGTCTCAGCTTCCTAGAGTGCTGGGAATAGGCATATACCACCAAGTTTAGCTGAGACTGCCTATTCTTAAAAGTTATACAAACAGAGCTGGGGAGGTTTATCTCAATGGTAGGGTGCTTAGCTAGCATGTATGAGAACCTAAGGTTCAATTTCCTATCCTATAAAGAAAAAAATTATGCAAAGAAAAACTTGCAGATCAAAGATCTAAACATTAAAATAGAAACAGCTAATCTGCTGGAAGATAAAATAGGTAAAATTCTTGAAGGCATAAGCATAAGTAAGGACTTTCTCAATAGAAAATCAATGCACAAGAAGTAAAATCAAGAATCAAAAAATGGGAATATACAAATTAAAAAGCTTTTGCATAGCAAAGGAAACAAGCAACAGAGTGAAGAGACAGCCTACAGAATAAGAACAAAATTTTGCAACCTGTACATTGGACAGAGAACTAATATCTAGAATATGTAAAGAACTAAAAAAAAAAAATTACTCTCCACAAAGTAAAAGACCCAATCAAAAAATGAGCAACTGCAAAGAATACACATCTAAGAAGAAGTACAAATGGCTAATAAATACATGAAAAACTGTTCAGCATCTCTGATCATAAGAGGAATGCAAATTTAAACAATACTGAGATTCTATCTTACTCCATAAAGAATAGCAATCAAGAAATCTGTTAATAACAAATGCTGGCAAGGCTGCAGGGAAAAGAAACTCTTCTACATTGTTGGTGGGGATGTAGCCTGGTACAATCACTATGAAAATCAGCGTGGGGATTCATCAAAAATTAAAAACAGAAATTCCATTCGACCCAGCTATTCCCTTTCTAGGTATCTTAGCAAAAGAGCTAAAGACATCACATTACAACGATAAATACCAATGTTTACAGCAACACAGCTCATAACAGCCAAATCATGGAAGTAGCCTATATGATTATTTAACATTAGCATTTTATAGAATATAAACTCGATTCAAGAGCCGAGGAAGAGACAGTGTTTTCAGCAAACGGCACTAGAACACCTGGTATC